TATATTTTTATCCTGAAAAAAGCTTCCAATAGGAGATTGAAGAGCTATGGTGCTTAAGTGGCATCTGGATGGCTCAAGGAGACCAGTCAACAAAGATGAAGAGCTGCAGGGTATTTTTAGAGAAAAGGGAGAAAAGAAAATAGTTCAGGAGTGAGGATCAGAGAGTGAGCAGGGGAGTTGACTACGGAGCCACAGAGACCCTGACCCACAATGTGCAGGGTGTGCTGAAGCTGAATCAGAAGGCTCAAGCTCTGACTTGCCCAGGCAGCTTATGGCAAAGAACAGTGAGGGAAGAAAAGGTAAAAAATATGGCTCTTTAAGCTAAACATACTGGGTAAATTGGCTAAAAAGTGAAAATGCAGCTAGGACTAGGGCTAAGGACTATCGTTTTAACAGAGAACTCTTCCCAAATTTAAACTTTGGGAATGTGCGGCCAAAACTGAAATCTACTAAGAGAATAATCATGCAAATAACTCATTATTTTTACACTGTGCGTCTGACAAGTCCAGTGGCAGACATCATGGTATTTGTTTTCCACCTCCAGCAAGATTTAAGCCAAAAACTATTTAAAAGCTGCTAGAACTATTGCTAAGAGTACATACTTTCCAAATTGAATATAGCTTTAATTCACTTTATCATACTTGCTGTAGTTCTTTGCAGTAAGAAACGACATCAGGATCTCTATCCACACTAGGTTTATAGGCCTCTCAGATAATTATGAATCAATACAGTTGGGTTCTGAATGTTGTGTCTCCCTGGAATTCATTAGCATTTTTTAGCTGCTCTATAACTGTGTACTTACCACATTAATCCAGATGTCCTATATATCCCAATCCCATACAAATAAAGTAAACAAAGCTCCATAAAACATAGATACTGGATAGCCATGACTTGTGTACAGCCATGTTGTAGGTCACTGTTATGAACAAGATATTGGGCCATTTTTTCTTTCCATAAACCTTCAACCACTTTTCTTAGTAGAGCTCCTAAGAGCATTAGCCAAGGCTGACATGCCCTCTGCAGTTGGCCTCCCTTCACCACTGGGCCTGGGTCTAAGTGTCTTTTTGATGGGTCCTTGTAAATGCAAACCTCAGAGAAAGTGTTTTATCAAGTGCCCTAGAGCATCTACTAACACCATGTCATGCCAAGAGATCGTCACTTACCACAAGTCTTTAACTTCTCTCTCAGAGTTGATTGATAGTCTGCAAGACAGACAACTCTAGCTAAACTTGGAAACAGATAACTCCTTGGATCTTCTCCAGCCATGTTTCATACCAGAATGGAAGATAGAAAAATAGCACAGCTCTTGGAATATGGCTATAGGACAGCCACCAGTTCCAAAACCCCAAGGTCTATATTGTTTTCCAATTGTAAACAGAATTGTGTTTGCAATTTAAACGCAAGGAGCTTATCTATGGCCACTATCTTTGACAGCTTTAGAGCAACTAAGTGAGGTACTGCCTCACTGACTATAGTCTGAGTAGAGGGGCACTTCCAGAAGACTCTAATTGGTGTCTCTTTTCAGTCTCTGCAGGGTTCCTTCAGCCAGCTGGGAGAGTTTGTATTGCCTGCGGGGTGGACTGTTGGCTATAAATTTCTGTTACATTAGACTTGGAATTTGTGGTTCCCAAACATCCCAGTGACTAGAAAAGTAAGAAAGAAAATGTCATCATAAATGGTCATCATCAGAATTAAGTAGTTGGCCTCCCTTTTGATCTGAAACTTCAGATCAAACCCACTTTGAGTACTACTTTGAAGATAAGATATTTTGTGACAAAAACAGAACATATGAAAATGTGCAAGTAATTTTTAATGGTTTATTAATCTTGTGGATATTTGAATAATAATGTTCAACCTTTTCTATAGCCTCATGGCTCTTGGCATTGTTTTTAGTGAGTTGTGCCCTTGCCTTTGTTTTTAGAGGGAGCAGCTGCACTGAGCCACACATAGTCTCCCACCTTACCCTCAGTGGTAAGCTCAGCAGCAGCCAGATCAGGATCCTGAATGAGAAGTGTATAGTGCACTTTTGAAATACAGCTATCCTCTGTGGGCAGATGACCAGTCTATAAAGGATCATATCCCATTTCACCCAGTTTTTTACAAGTCATTATCATTCTATTGTTTCTACTATTCTCATTTACACTGCTACCTGTTTTATACCATGCAAACCCCAACACAGATTTGTTTTCCAGCTTCTTTTCCTTAGTGCTTCCCAGAACCTTTTAGAGGATTTACACTTCTTATATCTCAGACTACCTGCTCTCCAACCTGTACAAAGAAAGAAAGAATGCATTTGAATACAGTCACAGACTAGGAGAAATGTTTTGTAATATTCAGGGATAATCTCCCTAACATGGGTTAAGAGACTGTATGAACATAGATGGGAGACACAAGGAGTAGATAAAGGGACCTCTGTCAACTACACGGTAGGGGTACAGCTAAAGGTAAAGTGCTCACTTTCTCACCTCCTGCACCAAGCACAGTGAAGTACGTGGCAGCAGTGCTACATACATGTTTTGTTGATTTTTTTTTCAATTTCAGTAAAGTAAATAGAACATAGAAAAGTAATCACCCAGTATTCTCTAGGGCATACACATAATCATGATAAGAATATTACTGCAAAAGTGATTTTTGGCCAAGTTTGCCTTTAAGTGAAGATAATAGAGTAGACAAGAGCTGGCTCTGGGCCCAATGCTGATGTTAAGCATTAGCTCTGCCACTTACCAGTGCTGTGACTTTGGACCAGTTAAACATTTCCAACCCTCATTTTATCTTTGAATCAGAAAGAATGATGGGACATTCCTCATGTGTCATTGTAGGAACTAAATAAGTTAACTCCTGCTATAATGCTTGGCACATAATAAGCACTATATAAATGTTTGCTATTGGCTGGCTCCAGTGGCTCATGCCTGTAATCCCAGCACTTTGGGAGGCCAAGGCAGGTGGATGACTTGTGTTTAGGAGTTTGAGATGAGCCTGACCAACATGGTAAAACCCTACCTCTACTAAAAATACTAAAATTGGCCAGGTGTGATAGCACATGCCTGTAGTCCCAGCTACTCGGAAGACTGAGGCACAAGAATTGCATGAACCTGGGAGGCAGAGGTGGCAGTGAGCTGGGATTGTGCCACTACACTCCCACCTGGGTGACAGAGTGAGACTCTATCTCAAAAAACAACAAAAAAAAAAGTTTGCTATTATTTGACGGATTCTGCTACTCTATTTGAGAGACTGCATTATTAATTGTTCTGCTATATTTAAGAGCCATAATAATTAAGAATCTCTCTTTTAACTAGAATATGTATGAAGTTAAATTTACTTACCTCATCACTGTTCTTTGATTTAATCAGCCTTGTCATCAACACACATTCACTGAATGCCTGCTATATACATATACGTACCTCTAAGCCACCTGTTAATGCTCCTATATATAGTGTCTAAAATTCCTCCTTGCCTTATTATATATTTGCAGAAGAATCAATATGTATGGAACCTCATATCTCCTGACTTTCAAGAATAAGATTTTAACTTGCATGTTCTTCGCTAGATACTTTGTGTAACAACTCCCCCCACCCCCGCCACACACACACACACTCAATGATTACTTTCTTCATTACTTCCTCTAACTGACCTAGAATTCTTCACACAATGCTAGCTGGTGAAAAGTTACATAAAGTATATGTAATGCCATGAGAATTCTCTTCTGACAATAGCTCTGTTATTGTTTCAGTAGGATAACAGCATCGTTTGTCTTCCCAATCATAGGCAACACCATTACTTGTGAGGCCCATTATTTTCTCAAGAATTGTATCAACCTAAGTATCCATGCTTCTAAGTATCCATCACCTCATTCTTGTGCCCTCTATGTTTAGTGGAACAATGCAAAGATTTTATATTAGAAGAGATCTTCAGTCACAAGCTCCTCATAAGAAACACCTGGTGTAAATGTTAACCAACATTAATCTTTTCTGTATACCTAAGGTGTTACCTGTATCAGTGAGTGCAGCTAACAATTGCTTCTTAAAATTTTTCTCCACTTCTCGAAGCTTTCATTCTCTTTAAAAAATAACAATCTTTATATAATGGTGCTGTTTTATTTTGCCTAATTATTCTCTTTCTGTGTCTTATCTTCTGAGGCAACATGTTAAGAACCTGGCCTCTATAATATTTTCTCTCTTCCTAGCTTTTTAGATCTGGATAAAATATGCAATCTCCCTGCAGTCTCTTTTCTGAGATTATGGAAGCTATTTGACTTGAATTACTTAATCTAAAACAATGCTAATCTTTGTGTTTTTTATGGCCCTCACCCAAAATGTAATCCCTGAAAAACGCAGAAAATTATTCTCTTTCTTTCTTCCTAGAAGCTTTAGGGACAGCCAAATGTCTTTGCTTCTTTCCTATCCATTTCAAGACAAGCATAGTGCTTATTGAATTATTTCCAGGACAACTGAAAACTACCAATATTTAAATGTCTAAAGTCTGAGGTTTTATAGCAGACATTTTTTTCTGGCCCAAAAGTCCATGTGCATCCAATTTTTATACAACTAATTCCAAAAAGCAAAGCAATAGAAAAACATTTTTCCCACATTTACTAAGTTAATAACATGTGGAAACACACAGTTCTATAGTACATTGATCAAAGTCCTGTGAGAAGTGCCAAAAATAAACTGAAGAGTTACAACCTCTTCTCTGAGAGTGTTTTATGGGTATAATTTTTTTTTTAATGAAGAATATGCTGGTGGTTGACCTTCTGATAAAATGTTACACACTCCCACTTAGGACCTCTTTTTGGATTCATGATGGATTTAACCTAGAAATATCTTATGAGCCTGATAATAAGTTAATGTCCATGTATTTCTCTATTAACCAGAATATTTCACTAAACAGACACTTCCTTTTTCTTCACTATATGATTTCAAGAGTTCTTAGATATATTATTTAAATATGCATTGTTTTGGTAAATGTGTACATTATTTCTCTTTGATTTGTTTATGCTACAGGGACCTCCTGGAATACAAGGAATACACCAGACTCTTGGTGGATATTATAACAAGGATAACAAGGTATGGCTTCTTTTTTTCCATGATTTGTAATACATAGAAATTTTATGTGATTGTATTTTTGAAAAATATAAAAACATTAATTCCTAACTTTTAAGACTTTTATACATGATCACATTTATTTAAACATCTTTTCATACTGAAAGCTGTGCTTCCAAAACCAAAAATAAAAAAAGCATTTTTCTAAGTATACAAATCTAGGTTTTTATCCAAACAAATTTTTTAAAAAATGTGTACAAAGTTTGTTAATGCAAAAAGTTGTGTTCTGCCATTGATAATATCATGTGTCTAACCTCTCTGAGGGCAGAAAGAAATTATTTGCTACTTTGAAGCTCTGGGTAGCACAATAGGTGATAGATTTCTTATCGAAACCAATAGGTGCTGCACCAAAATCCCAAGCAAATATTTGCATACTACAGTTCAAGAATGAGAGTCCCCACCTTTCAGGAGAAACTACGTTTAATTTCCCCAAGGTTTTTTTAAAATCATATTTGAGATAGTTGGAATGCTGACATGGAAGCATCCAAATGGCAAAAGCAAGGGAGTTTTGTTCCAGATTCTACAAAAGCTCAATAGAGTAGCAGCCAAGAGTAGAAGAGCTAAGTGAGATCACTGATTGATTCATCATTCAGTGACAAAGATTTGGGCAATGATCATTCTGTGTGAGGCATTCTGTCCACTTATTAGGATGCCTTGTTTACATATCGTTCTCGATTCCTTGCACCACAGAAAGAACTGGAGACACTTCCCTTTAGGTCTTTCTTTTCTATGTTCTTGCTTTCCCTTCCTATAAATTTTTCTGACAGCTGTTATTCCTCTATGTTTAGAAATCCCGAAGAGACACTATATGCCAAAAAAGTTTGTTAAATGACTAGGTAACTAATTATAAAATCCCAATTTTTCTTTCATTAGAATAAGGTCAACACAAAGACTTAAGTAATTTGTGGTTGACAAATTTAAAATCAAATATGGAAAGTTTTTCATACTTTATAAATTTGATAGTGATGCTATTTTAAATTCTCTTTTTATTTAGGTTTTCTAGGGAGTATTATATTAGGAAGAATGTTTAGGATATATTTCATGTTTCTTTATTAAACATTTCTTTAATAGAACTTTACTAGCTTTTTCAAAATATTAAGGCTTAGCACAAGTGAAAAAAAAGAACTCTGAAGCATGTCTAAATTTAATCAATTTAATGATACTTGTAATGATACCTGCTGTTATAAAATAGGATTTATCATAAATGCTTCAAAATAGTGAGAATAAGTTGGCTCTGATGTCACAGTGTCAGCTAGAAAAACTTAAAGAACACACTATATTACTATCACCCTTGGTATAAAATATACCAAGTTGCTACTCAGCTACTTAAATATTTGCTATCCCTCGCAAAACTTTTAAAGCTTGTATCTTTACAGGTCTCCCAACACTACTTCGCTATATAGTTTATCTTGCTGATGAGTCAGTTTTCCCTTAAATGAAGATATATGGAGCATTTATATTTTAGAGTCTAAAGTTGAGAATATAAATTTTTTAACTTTAAGGTTATATTTCAAAAAAAATAATGGAGGCTGACCAGAGCAGCTGAGTGGAGAATCTTCCTAGACATAAACCAGTATTTTGAAGTTAGTTATTAACTCACCTAAAAGAACCCCAGTTACATTATTGCAATTAAAAAAATAGAGGCTCGTAGGTATTTCGTCCACATGTTCTCTAAATGTGATTTTAAAGCTGGAGTATGACTGGATAAAGAGAGCATAGCTGTTATCCCAAATGATGCACTATAAGCATTTAGCGTCAGAGGCTTTAGATGCATCTGCGAATTAAAGGAATATAACTTACCAAACACTTTATTGTTTCCTTTGAGAGTAGTCAGAGCTCTTACACTGAGGTCCTACCAGGAAGGATGGAGATGGTGGGATCCACCTTTCTAGAACCCACACTGCCCCATACTTGTGTATTGTAACCATCTTCTCCTTACCCTCAGCTTCACAAAGGAAAAGCCAAATGTGCTGTGATGAGCATGATTCATGTTTTCCATTGGCAATGTCACCACCACCTACCCCTGTCTGTTTTTGGATACTGAGGTTGTTTCATTTTGCAATTTGCAGCATGCTGGATGGTCAGGCTGTAGCAAATAAGCACAGAGAGAAGCAGGGCCTGAGGGAAACCTTCCTAGAGATTAAATAATGGACTATGTATTGAGACATAGCAAGTGACACTCCAAGGTTAAAATAATCTTCCCTTTTAAATTGGCATTGATTTATGTAATGTCTATACTGGAGCCCTGGACCTCAGCTCATCAACTCACAGCAACTTCAACAGTTACACAGCCCAGATTCTGCTGAAGCAACTACCCATGGGAGAATGAGTAACAGACTACTCATTAATTGCCCCTCCTCATTCTGAACTCAAAGAGCCCATGGTTCATTTTCTGTTCCCAGGATCCTCACTTGCTGTCTGGCTCCCAAACAGGAACTGATCTTTTCCCCTGTAATTTTCCTTATGTCATCTGGAGGGAGAAGCTCAGGTGTAAGAAACTCTCTCTCCTCGCAGCACAAATCAAAAAAGGGAGAGAGAAGAAAACAAAGCAAATGAGGAATAGAGAGACAGCCTAAGGAGTGAGGTTGGGAAGGTTATATGAGTGTGTTGATGTGTATTTTTGCATGCCCACTTAAGAAGGCAAAGAATAAAAGGTAGATTTCTCTATCCCAAAAATAATGTGCAAAACAGCTGCTTCCATTCTGCAAGATTGTTTGCAAAGAAGCAACAATGCTGAGCATATTCTTCCCCTCAAGGAAAATCTGCTCATGATCCAGTAAATTGCACTTCATTGTTTCCAGCTCTAGGGGTTTTAATAAAAATTTGATAGACTCTGTCAACTACTGAAGCCATCAGACCCGTAGTTCCTTACTACACTTTAGACAGAGAAAAAAAATACTGTTTATCAGTGGAGGCCAAGTACTGGCGGATTTTACATTTGATGTTGTTTTTAAAGAGCCAGATTGAAAATGCAGAGTTGTGTTATCTTACATCACCACACTCGGTCTCAACTGTTGGAGATTGATGCTGTGCCTCCCAGCAACCAATTCTTGTATTCATTTCTCCAAATTGTTGATCCAAAAAAAAAAAAAACCAATTTGCTAGCAAAATAATCTATTTTTCTTTTCACATATTAAATCATAACTTCACTTTAATATCTACAGACTAGAAAGGACAGAAAGCCTTTATCCAAAATCCAATATTCAAGGCCTTTTCAAGCAGTGCGTTAAACCCAACAATGTCATATAAAGTGAAGGCTGCCTTGGAGACTCTGCAGGCAACCTTTCTGGGCCCAGAAGATTGAGAAATAAAGTTTAAGTTCTAACTTCATCTCTCTCCTTCCCTGTGTTCTAGGCTCTCTGGCTTTGGAAAACATTGTGGACTTAGGCACAGACATATGGACTTTTAGATGTTGGTCTGATTACAGACAGCCCTCCGGTTCACCTAAGTCCTTCCTTCCTTTCATGGCCCTCCACACTTTCGGCTGTTGAAAACGTTTTTTTGCAGATAACTAAGAGTGTGGGCTTTGAGCCAGCCTTAGGCCTTATTTTCAAGTAAGCAGAGCTTTCTTAGCCCAAATATTATGTTTTAACTTGCTAGGGCTGCCACAACACAATGTCACAAACTGAGTGGCCCAGAGATTTATCATCTCATGGTTCTGGAGGCTAGAAGTCAAGATGAAGTGTTGGCAGGGCCATGCTGTCTTCGAAGGTGCTAGGGAGGAATGTCTTTGAGGCCTCTCTCCGAGCTCTGGTGGTTCCTTGGCCACCTTCACATGGTGCTCTCCTTGTGTGGATTTCTCTGTAAAATTTCCCTTTTTATGAGGACACAGCCTTACTGGATTAGGAGTCCAACCTACTCCAGCATGTTCTCATCTTAACTAATTACTTTTACTAATTATTAATTACATCTGCAATGACTCTATTGGCAAATAAGTTCATGTTCTGAAGCTCTGGGTGTTACGATTTATACATATAAATGGCAGCGGGAGGTACACAATTTCAACCTATAAAAAATAACCTGGTTTTTCTGAACTTTGTCTCCCCTCATGCCTAGGATATTACAGCAAGTTCCCCAAAAACTAACCCAGAGGATTTGTAATGACTCTATATCCTAGGAAGGAGTTCACATCCTTGGGTTCTTTTATTAGTTGAATAGTAAAAAACTGCTGATATCTTACTCTCTGGGGCCTACAAATTGTCATCTAATATGGTTCAATCCATGTATATCCAGGTACATTCTCTTCTTTCCAGAGAAAACCCTCTTTAAGACTTTCAGTAGCTTGAGTCTTTCACTTGCCTGACCATAGGTTCCAAAGTTCCATTCACCATTCCTACAGAGACCCAAGAACAAATGCTGACATCCTAGAATTCTTGAGATAGGCGTGCAGATTAGCATCCTCACACCACAACCCTCACTGCATCACCACAAGAATTTTTTAATAAACACATTCAAAACTGGGCCCAGAAGATTGAGAAATAAAGTTTAAGTTCAAACTTCATTTCTCTCCTTCCCTGTGTCCCAGGATCACTGGCTTTGGGAAACATAGTGGACTTAGGCATAGACATATGGACTTTTAGATGTTTTTAGCCAAAGACATATGGACTATTATAGTTATTTGGAAGGCTTACAAGAACCTTAACATGGCACCAAGGCACAAAATAATCTAATAAAATTAGAATATCATCTGAGGCAGAACTGCAGTTCAGAAACACAAAGACTGTGCCTCTTATTTTCATGAAGCCAGGTAATTATCCGGTACAACTAGCTTGGAGAAAGTAGGGAGAAGCAGCTCACATGCCAATGAATGAATGCTACTGAAGCTCAAGTTTGAATCTGCCTTGAGTATTACTAACCCAAGAGTGGGGAGCAGCACTAAAGGCCACTGAGACTCCTTGATTAGGTGGATTTCCTGGCCTTGCTATCGAGTGAAGCAAACATGGTGCTCTGATGGGCAATAAATGGCTGTGTTGTTTTTCTGTGTGTGAAAGCCATCAGGAAAATCAAGATTTTAGAACAATAAAGCATATTGATAGGACACTAGGAGTTGGTGCTGCAGAGGGATTCCTTCATCCCAGCCACAGCATCTCTCATGCCCTGTAGGTTATTGAGTGTGAGGTGGGCTATGCTAGAATATGCTCTTCTCAAAGGGGTTTTAGGTGTTCTCCTGCTCTGCAATCCAAGAGCATGGGGCCTTCCAAGCCAAAGACCATCTCCAGGCAAATCATATCTCAGACCGAAGCATGTTCCAGTTTCCTAATAAGTGTCCTACCATAAGTACAGCCAGGGAGAGATGCTGATGTTTTGTGCATACTGGCTGACACCATGCTCAAGTGACTAGTGTTTTTGAGACATCTCTAAGATTTATGTTTCTGTGCAGGTTACATCCAAGCAGCCTGCCATTTTGTAACTGCTGGTTCTTTATAAATGTGTATATATATCTTGTGTTTTCACATTTCATTTTCAAATACTGTTGGTTGTAATAATTTAGGACAAAACTTTGAGAATATATTTTTTATTTTCAATTTAGATATCACAGACCAAAGTTGACAGAAAAAAATGAGAGAATATCCATTATAGGAGCAATAATAATATCATTAATAAACTACTAATTTTTATTGGAGTAGCATAAATAACATGGAAAGCATATTTAAAATATCAGATGATAGCAATAGTGATCTGAATGGGTACCTCTGTATATTTTTGTTGTCTAAATGTTTCTGTATCTTTTAGATTTCTTATCAACACATGTATTTTTAATCAGAAAAATAAGTTTAATGGAAAAAGCACATGATTAGAATTACTGGCTTATTTGCCCAACATTTATTGAATGCCAGCAGAGGCTTTCATGAATGGCATTTCATAATAGTTAAAACCTGACTAATAGCTAGTTCCTGGCCAGACTAAAACGTGAGGACAAAGAGTGATGATCTGGAGGTCAATTTAGGGAGCTGAAAGAAAACCATGATAACTGAAGCTTCTGAGGAAGATGAGTGGCCAACATGATGCTGGAGAGGAAAATGAGTTCAGGTCATGCAGGGATTTGATGGTGATATCAAAGTTATTAAAAAAAATGGGTGTCAGAATGTCTGTTGAAGCTATTTCTCTGACCTTACGTAAAGAATATATGTGCCAGGAAAGCAAGAGTGGATTGTAGATGGCCAGTTAGAGATTCACTGCAATAATCATGGCAAGGCATGATGGTGGCCTGCCTGGGTATAGGCAGGTGGACTCTGTCTCTTAAGAGAAGAGAAGACACTTGGGAAGACAGAGTGGATGACTGGATGACTGATCACTTCTTCTTTCCTCATCTGTTAAAGCTTGGACTTCCTCAGGACTTTCTTCTTTGTGATTCAACACTTTCTCTTATGAGGAATAAGAAAGAGCGTGGTTATATTAGTCCATTTTTATGCTGCTGATAAAGACATACCCTAGACTGGGCAATTTACAAAAGAAAGAGGCTTAATGGACTCACAGTTCTCTGTGGCTGGGGAGGCCACATGGTGTAAGGTGAAAGGCACATCGGACGTGGCAGCAGACAAGAGAGAGTTTCTGCAGGGAAACTCCCCTTTATAAAACCATCAGATCTCATGAGACTTATTCACTATAATGAGAATAGCACAGGAAAGACCCACCCCCATGATTCAATTACCTCCCACTGGGTCCCTCCCACAACATGTGGGAATTATGGGAGCTATAATTCTAAATAAGATTGTGGTGGGGCATAGCCAAACCAAGTGATCTTGAGAATGATACCCAGACAAAGAGGAAGAGTTCAGGTTTTCTTTGTTAATTTTTTTTTTTCTTTCTTTTTTTTTTTTTTGAGACAGTGTTTCACTCTTGTTACCCAGGCTGGAGTGCAATGGCACGATCTCGGCTCGCCGCAACCTCCGCCTCCTGGGTTCAGGCAATTCTCCTGCCTCAGCCTCCTGAGTAGCTGGGATTACAGGCACGCGCCACCATACCCAGCTAATTTTTTGTATTTTTAGTAGAGACGGGGTTTCACCATGTTGACCAGGATGGTCTCGATCTCTTGACCTCGTGATCCACCCGCCTCGGCCTCCCAAAATGCTGGGATGTTAATTGTTTTAAATCGTAAAACGAAATTGCTGTTCAACTTAAAAAGAAAAACTGCAGAGACACATTAGAAAAAAAATGATTATTCTTCTCCCATTTCTGTACTAAACAATGTTAGCAGTGTGATGTAACTTTTTTCTCTTGTATATTTGTGTATTTGTTGAATTTTTTTGTTTCAGTTTTAAACTTGTTGAATTTGAATTGCTTCTAGAATTTGCCAGTGAATACATCAAGTAGAAAATTAGACATATGGGTCTAAAATTCAGAAGGGAAGTATATGCTGGTATGTAAATTAGATATATGAGCCTAAAACTCAGAAGGGAAGCATGTCCTGGGTTTATAATTTTGGCTGTGTAAATATTACCTATGCCATGAAGATAAATAAGAGTGCCTGGGAGAAAGTGTTGAATCACAAAGAAGAAAGTCCTGAGGAAGTCCAAGCTTTAACAGATGAGGGAAGAAGAAGTCACAGAGATAGGAAGAAACCAGGAGAGTAAGCTGTCATTTAAACCAAGAGAGTGACAATTGTAGCAAGGAGGTCAATTAATGAAGAGTCCATTAGAGTAAGCAGCAAAGATATTATTAATAACATTAGAGGGTCACATCAGTGGACTGATTGGGACCAGTGCCAAATTCATATGAGTTTAGGAGTAAACAGGAGATTAATAAGTGGTGTCAAATAAAAAATTGCACCTGACAAAGTTAAACAGATAAGATTATTCAAGGCTATTGCAATGGAAGAGAGACAGCACATTTAATCTGACCTCAATTCCACTGAAACAAAATTCAGGAGAGTTTTTAAGTATTCAAGTAGGAGAGAGAACACACTTCTTTGTGTTTGCTAATCAGCTTTACCCAAAGGAAGAGTAAACTTTCTCATATCTTTGTGACAGGAAGAAGGTTTACATCCTGGCACGAGGCTGAAGTTAAGCTCCTACCCTCCCACAAAGCCTGGAAGATAGTGGCGCTATCTTCTCCATGATTACATTTTAAAAGGATGGCTCCCAGGTCCTTAAGAAAGATGTTCCCAGATTGTAAAACTAACAGGAGGCCCTTAGAAAGATTTATATCTGAAAGGGATAGAGAAAGAACTTACAATACAGATTTTCTGAAGCAATTGGTCTAGAAATAGAAAGGTCATGGTCTGGAGTCAGGAACAAGCCTATCCAAAGTTTATTCCAGCTGAGGGAAGCATTAAGGCTGTCTTGGTCACTGGAGGCAGAAAACATTAACTACCCTTTTGAGAAAATTGTCCAGAAATGGGAGGAGAGAGAGTAACATAAGGGAAATGTGTGCTGGGGAACTGTATGTTTTTTATGTGTTAAGTTTAAAGAAGGTAAAATAGGTAGGTAGGAGAGTAAGAGAGGTGTTAAATAAATTGGTCCATTTTTGCTACATTTTACTTAACTTTACCAAATTGGCCAATTTCACCTAATAGCAAGTGTTAATGTTAATAAGGAAAATCTCCTAAGAAGGCAGAGGGCATGGGAATCAGAAGATTTATGGAGGAAACAACCACTGATAAGAGGTGAAATAGCTCATTAACTACACTCGGGGTGTGCATGCACGTGGGTTGGTAGATTCACTGGCAGAAATTAGAAGTGGTGTCTAAGGCCCAGCACAATGGCTCATGCCTGCAATCCCAGCTTTTAGAGAGGCAAAGGCAGGAGGATAGCTTGAGCCCAGGAGTTCAAGACCTGCCTGGGCAATATAGTGAGACACCATTGTCCACAGAAAGGAAAAAAAGAAGTTGTGTCTGATAACTTGTATTTTTTCAGTATAGTTACAGGCAAGGTCACCTGTCCAGGGACTGTAGAGTCTAATGTAGTGGTCCGAGAACAATAAAGAAGATTTGAGAGTAAGGAGAGCAGATCAGAGATGCTCAGATACATGGAGAGGCCAGTTGAAGTGGCCAGGTATGGATTTGGAGTAGTGAGTTTTATCCCCAGAGGTGTGATGTTTCTTCAGAATCAATCTCCTTAAGAAGTCACAAAGAAGATGTATCAGGTCTCCAAAGCTGGAATTATTTTGTAAAATATTTAGCAGGAATATTTAACAACAGGTGAGAAAGACAAAGGTGTCTGCAAATATGACCTACTATCCATAAAAAGCTGTTACACTACTATTATCTGACTACTTATACTGTTACAGAATGAATGCATTAAAAATAAGTGGATTTTTCTTTTTTAATTTAAATTGTTCCCGCTCCCCCCAGGGAAATGATGAACATGAAGCTGGTGGCCTGAAAGGAGATAAGGTAATTAGATTTTTCTTTTTTTTAAGATGGAGTCTTGCTTTGTTGCCCAGGCTGGAGTGCAGTGGTGCAATCTTTGGCTCAGTGCAACCTCTGCCCCACTGCATGTTCAAGTGATTCTCCTGCCTCAGCCTCCCAAGTAGCTGGAATTACAGGCATGTGCCACCACTCCCAGATAATTTTTGTATTTTTAGTAGAGACATAGTTTTACCACGTTGGCCAAGCTGGTCTTGAACTCCTGACCTCAGGCGATCCACCTGCCTCAGCCTCCCAGAGTTCTGGGATTACAGGCTTGAGCACTGCACCCACTGGTAATCAGATTTTAAAGTGATAAAAGGGTCCAGTATTTTATACAGACTTACACATTTACATGTAGGGCCTGCCGCCCCCTACATGTGAATGTGTAAGTCTGTACAAAATACTGGGAGGGTATTTTGTATGGTCTCTGGGAGGGTGTCCAGCCTGCAGTGGGCAGGGACCTCTGCCTGCTTCTTGACCAGGCAGTAGCATTGGAATCTGCTTCAGAGACCAGCAAGGACTGCTGAGTAGCAGTTGGCTGCAAGAAAAGGAACATAGCAAGGGGAAATTACTATAATAAGATAAATGAAATCAGGACACAAGATTTTGTTTGTAATTAAATGTTTTATGAATCCGTGTAGGTGGCAAAAATAATCTGAAGACCCCTTTGGCAAAATGCCTCGGGCCCAGATTCACTATTTTGTGTCTTCTTAAGTACCAAAACATAGGCTGTCCTGGCAGCCATTTTTGGTGGGGTTTTATACTGAACAGTAGTGGTTAGACCAAATAATTATTTCAAAACAGTTTTAAAATTAAGACACTGATAAATTTCCATTGCATTCTCCTTGTCATTTGCAGGTTTAATTATCTTAGCTGTAAAGATAACAGATTCACTTCCCCTCTCAATAAGATGTTTCACTCCTGTTTGATTCTGAAATTGTAATGACCTCAGATTCCATTCGAATGTGCCATTGTCAGAAAAAATAATATACATTAAATCTACAGGCAAAGATGAGTAGGTTTGAAAATACTCTGAGGGAATGTGTCTTGTGAGTGCTACCTCCACTTATTCACCCTGTAAAAATCCTCTTGATTGAGGGCAGGGGATTTCGACACGAATCCAAGAAAATATGACTTTGGTGCCTTATAAATCAGTGCAACCAATTCATTCAAAAAGTTGTACACCCATCAGCAGAAGTTACGCTAAAAGATAGTCCAACAGAAACTAGGAGCTTCTTATAGATTGATGATTGAATTTCTGCTAAATAAATAAACTTTGACATTCTGAAAAAGACATCCAAAAATTGATTACACAGCAATAAGTCATTTGTGTGTGGTAGATTTTATTGCTAGTATATTATTAGCATTATTTCCAGCAACCTAGTGGCTAACAGAAACCATACGCCACCATAACAAACGCATTACATTTTAAGCAATGACTTCTGGACATAGGCAGGCTAAGGGGAAAAAAAAAAAAGCTGCAAAGCTTGTCACGTAGGACAGCTGAGCAATGAAGAGAGTTGTGACTTTTAAAGTATTTAAATGATGATTCATTTCTTGAAACAAAACAGCTGGCTTCTGTTTTGCTGTGTTCATTAGGAAACATATGTTACTTAGAAATTCTTAAGACCTCACTGATGAGAAATTTGATTCTGTAAAACAGGTGTATTTCAAACTCTAAGGACCTTTTCTATTGTTCAAAATCTTTTCTAATTGCTTCAAAATCTTAAGTAGAATTAGGAAAAGCCAGTGGCATAACTATTCCTTCCTCTCACTCAAATAAATAACGTAGAAGAGTCTACAGGGAACCTGATGCAGTACATGACATAAACAGACACATAAAAGGACTTTTTAAAGGCATGATTAATAGGAAATTGCCAATAAACAATGCATAAAATAAACAAAAATTACAGGTGGTAGCTCGCACCTGTAATTCCAGCACTTTGGGAGGCCAAGATAGGAAAAATACTTGAGTCCAGGAGTTAGACCAGCATGGACAATATAGTGATACCCCATCCCTACAAAAAATAAAAATATTAGCTGGGCATGCTGGCAAACACCTGTAGTCCCAGCTTCCCAGGGAGGCTGAGGCAAGAAGATCACTTGGAGTAGGAGGTAGAGGCTGCAGTGAGCCATAATCACACCACTGCACTCCAGCCTGAGCAACAGAGCTAGACCTTGTCTCAAAACAACCAAACAAACATAAATATAAGCATAGCAGTTGCTGGAAGAGTGAAATCAGCTCTTCCCATGCAAGTCTACTTACTATCCTTTCTGAACCAATACCTTAGTTTTTAAATTTTTAATGTAATGTAAGTCACAACAGTGAAAATGTAAAGCTCCATCACGCTGTTCTCAAAGACCTTTGCTTGTACCTGTGGTGAACCCCAGTGCTTCTGAGTCCTGGCTACACATTGGAATCACCTGGAAAGCTTTTAAAAACTACCCACGCTCAGGCTGTATCCACAGAGACTCTGATTTGGGGTGGGGCTCCTATCTCTACTATTTAAAAGTGCTTCAGATGATTCTAATACACAGCCAGGGCTAAGAACCACTGAGTAATAGGAAGAGCATGAGCTTTGGTACAAAAAATTGATTGTGGCATTAACAGCTAGGTCACCTTGGGAAAGCCACTTCATTTCTCTAAGCATCCATATCCTCATTCGCACAATGGGCATAATTGTATCTACACAAAGATTTGACAGAAGGATTAAAATTAAATAAGAGGAAGTTACTCAAAAGCACAATAACTAAAATGCATGTGATGCCCTCACTAAAGATTTTCTATTCACCCATCTCAATCTTTCTTTCCTCTCATGAGGTCGCATTTAGCACTTTTTAGTGTTAATTGTTCTCATTCTTAGCACCTGGTCTTGCTCATCTTTGTATATCCCACCGTAATTTTGACAGAGAAGGTACTCAATTAGTACTGTAGAATAAAAGATTTAACCAGAAGAATAATTAACATAAGTGATTCATCATTCCTTTATAATATGCTACTTCTCATTGCACTGACCAGCCAAATAGAATTATTGAAAGAGCCAACCCTTCGGAACCTAACGGTACATTGAAGCGCCAGAACAAGCACAAACAGTACTGGAATACACACACCAATCACCCCTGGTTTAACAGCCACATCCCGTATCAAGAACATTATGATATAGGGAGAACCACTAAGGAACACAACTTGCTATTAACAATAAATGGCCATGGAGACTATCCACATGACCAGTCTACCAGTGTGGTAATAATGGATGATCCCTGCTCTGTGGCTTGACTGGGACTGACAGGATGTGGTGTAGGGATAATGTATTTGCAAGTTACTTGAGGAGAATTGTTGCATTATAGAGACAGTGGAACAAAGTGGCAGGATATCTAAGCACTCCTGAGAAAATAGCAGGTGTCTTGTACGGAAGACTGTTGGGGAAAAGGTGGAATCTCTACAGCACCAAGCCTTTCAAATAGCATCAAAAGTGTGAAACTGAAGGAGAGTCTTTCCTAGTGCAAAGTAAATTCATCACTTGTGTTTCAATGCATATCTACAGTGATAAATGACTAAACATTCAATTTAAATATGAAATACTACAGGACGAGAATGAGTATTAAAGAAAAAAATATATAAAATATAAACCCATAAGTGTCTAACGTTCAGGTAGAAAATGCTTTTGCTTGGAGAATTTTATGAAGAAAGAGGTCTCTAAGATTATAATTGCTCTTATTTCATTTATAATTGAATATAATTGCTCTTATTTCATTTTGTTGTTGTTGTTGTTGTTAAGACGGAGTCTCGCTCTGTCGCCAGGCTGGAGTGCGGCGGCGCAATCTCAGCTCACTGCAATCTCCGCCTCCCCCGTTCAAGCAATTCCTCTGCCTCAGTCTCCTGAGTAGCTGGGACTACAGGCGTTCACCACCATGCCTGGCTAATTTTTTGTATTTTAGTAGAGATAGGGTTTCACCATGTTGGCCAGGATGATCTCAATCTCCTGACCTCATGATCTGCCCACCCAGCTTCCCAAAGTGCTGGGATTTACAGGCGTGAGCCACTGCACCCGGCCTATAATTACTCTTATTTCAACATGTATGTTCTCCTACCCTTCCTCTTTGATATTGGCAGATTTGATTTTTACAAGCAATTGCTAGACCCCTTCTCAGCTTTGTACTTTATTACACGAGTCTAACTAGTAGACATATTTTTCCTTCACACCTATGCAATGAAGATTGTAGCACCTACCAGATGGGTAACATGAAGGTCACTCTGTACACCCTAATGCCTATACAAGGCTAATTGTTTATTTCCTCTCTCAAACCAACAACAATTGGCCCCTTAAATGTATCTCCCAGCTTCTCCCTCTCCTTACCTTGAATATAATATACTATATCTAAAAAAAAAGACTTATAATGTGGTAAGAATAAGACTGATGATACACAGGATGTTTAGATACTATCGTAGAAAAAACAATACTTATGTAGCTTACTCGAATTAGGAAAAAGTCTGTATCCAGCACACTAAACTTTAAATTTCATGGATACTGCTGCAAAAGACATATTGAATATTTAAATTTAAAATGTGAGTGCATTTAAAGAAAAAAATAAGCTATGTATCTATAGGTGGTGTGTGGACATAGCAAATATTATGCAGTTGGGATGTGGATGACTGAACTTTGGGAAACACTGCTCTAGAATATTTGTACTGACAAGTCTGCAAATTGGCTTCTTATGCATTTGGTTCCTTGGCTCTCCAACAGGGCCAAACTACTACTAGCTGAAAGCCTAATGGTATAAAAAATTAGTACTGAGGTGAATCAAAACACTTCTTTCCTAGTATCAACTCTCACAGCACAAAATACCTCTTATTTCTATGACCAAATGTGTGAGAGTTTTTCATTCACAGCAAGCAAGCAATTGGTTCTGCAGCAGACACCAGCTGGTTGTCCTCTAATTCCATTCACTTCACACTATTTAACTAGCGGTAGCAACAGATCCCACAGATTGAGAGCTCAATCCCACAAGACTGCCCTCCACTTTATATGTCAATTGAAAGCCCCGTGTTGTTTTATCTGTGCTTTTGATCAACTGGCTATAAATCGGGGTCTTCATGAGCCCCTCCTTGGTTTTGACTAATTTGCTGGAATGGCTCACAGAAGTCACGGAGATATTTACTTACATTTACCAGCTTATTGTAAAGGATGTTACAAAGGTTACAGGTGAAGAAGTACATAGGGCAAGGTATGTGGGAAGGGGTGCCAAGCTTCCAAGCTTCCATGCCCTCCCTGGTCAGGCCACCTTCCAGGGACCTCTAAAACTTCAGCTGTACAGAAGCTTTCCGAACGCAGTCCTTGTGGTTTTTATGAAAGCTTCATTATGTAGGCATGATCGATTAAATCATTTGTCATTGGTGACCAAGTTAACCTTCAGCCTCTCTCCCCTCCCCAGAGGATGTAGGTGAGGCTGAAAAGACTCTAAACAAGCCTTGGTCCTTCAGGTGACCAGCCCATTGCTGAACCACCAAGGGGTTGCCAGCTACCAGTCAACTCATTAACAAACAAAAAGACACTTATTGCTTTAGAGATTCCAAGGATTTTATGAGTTGTGTGCCAGGAAACTGGGATAAAGACCAAATATGTATTTTACAATATTGTTATCAAGCAGATGGGCTCACTGCCCAGTGTGTACCAAAGCCAATAACTATGGCACCAGCTTTTGAGAAAAGAAAGATTTTATTGCAAAATCAGCCAGCAAAGAGACAGGAATCAGGCTTAAATTTGCCTCCCAGATTTAGGGATTGAGGCAAGTTTTAAGGGATCAGAGGGCAAGGGACAGGATTTAGAGATGTGGGTTCAGGAGGGTCTGATTGGACAGCTTTGAATTTGACCGTTTATGGTAAGGTATGTTGAGGTAGATTTTATCCCTGGATATTCTGGGCCAGTGGACCCCTTGGCTTCTGAAAGAGTTCAGATTCTGGTCATGTCCTGGTCTTCTTAGTTCCACCTGAGGGGAGGATTTGTTGGTTCCAGCTGTTGTTACAGGTCAAAGCTGTTTCTGTTATGCATGCCCAGGCTGCATGATGGCAGTTTTTCGCTCTGTTATACCTTAAAGGCAACTCGACATTTTGTTATCAACAGAGGTAGGCTCTGTTTGGGCTAGTCCCACAGTTTTAAAATTTTAATAAAATTAAGATTAAATTTAACAAAATGTATCCCTTAAATCTAGAAGGCTAATTAATATGAACATGATATTGTCTATCCACTACAGAAAATCACAAGATATGGGTTAGGATATACATATAAAAAATAAGCTGAGATTTTAGGGTCGTAGTAAATTTTTACTTGAAGCACTTTCAGGTAGACTGTTTGAGGCTTCAAAATGAACAATCAGGCACATCCACACAGGGGCCAGGATTAGAGATGTTCACTGCAGCCTTGTTTATAGTAGAGAAAAGCTGGTACAACCCAAGTGCCTATCATTGGGGCTGGGATAAACCCTGTTTTATTAACATGTTAGAATGCTACTCAGCTGTTATAATGTATGAATGAGATCATATGTATCAATAGAAATGTATATTAAAAACAACACTGAGTGGAAAAAACAAGTAATAGTATGTTATATATGAGATAAAGCTATTTATGGATTTGTTTTAAATACTCAAAATAATATATTGTTTCTGATTCCACATATGCAGTAAAAGTACAATCATATAAACTGAAAATATAAATACCAAATTCTTAAGAGTAGCTCCCTCTGGGTAGAAATCCTAAATATAGGGGATTTTGTCTTTGATTGTAAATTTTTTAATTTCTTTTATTTCGGGTACCTGATATATGAAGGCTTGGTGGATTCTATTTTATATTTTCTGTATTTATTCTTTCAAAGTAAAAAAAAAATAGACCAGGTAGGCAAAATGGTATATGTTTAGAAATATAATGGTGAACATCATTTTGCAAAAATACTGTTGAGGTCGGGGAAAAAATAAGCATTACATATCTTCTGGAGCTATATTTAATTTAAGAATTGTATAGGTATTCAAGGATCTTGGTAAACACTAAAAGGATGCACAATGCTGAGACTCCTCTGAAGTCTTATTAGTGATATAACTCCTTTCTGTAAGTATTACTTCTCAAATTGTATTTTCCAAAAACACTCTTTATATGTCACATACAAATCTCTCTTCAGGTTTTTTTGACCAGAACCTCTTCTAAGCTACTGCTGTCACTGCATCTACAAGAATGACTTATTTGTCTACAGCCAAGCATCTAAGTAGCAGTATAAATGCTGGAAACAGCTGAGAGACTCATTTAACTTCATATGACTACTGACTGCCCACCTAAACAAAGAAAAAAGTGCCTGAAATAAAATGAATCTGGATTATTGCGTCAATTAAACAGTCTGATGTCTTTGAGAGCACACACAAAAAAAACTGGCTTTGGCACGTCAGAACAAAATTAAAATTTTTCTCCTCTAGATATTTTTTTCCTGGGAAAATAATTAACTTTGTTTCACATTAAATTTAAATATCATAATGAAATATATGGATTTCTGAAAGACATAAAGCCATTGTGAAGTACTGACAAACCCATTATCACGCAAATAGCCTAAGTAAATTCAGAACTTTACATTCTCTGTTGAATGCTAATAGATAAATTGCATAGTTAGAAGGAGAGCAAGCAATCATTCTCTATCCGCCAGTCACAGCAGTACTTCTCTAACCATCTGCAAAATCTCTCTTCTGCTTTGTCTTGAAAGGGTGAAACTGGACTTCCAGGATTTCCAGGGTCTGTTGGCCCTAAAGGACAAAAAGGAGAACCTGTAAGTATTTTAGCTTTGAGGACAGAGGAAGAGTATCTTAAAAATTGGATTAAAAATATTTTTCCAAATCAGCCCCAATTCCACATACCTTGGTTGATCTTGTCATGGTAAACAGATCAGATCTCCAAGCAAGTGTTAGCTATGCTATGCACTGTCTTTTACATGTATTTACTCACTTAATCCATAAAAGTGTTCCATAAGGTCAGCTATTATCACATTTCAAATGATGAAAGTAAGGCATAGAGAGGTTAAGTAACTTTGCCCAAAGTCACACAGTACTAAGCACTGGTGCTGTGAATCACACCTAGGTGGGCTGATTCTAGAACCTAAAGTTTAAAATCACAAAGCTCCTCTGGTATAACTAAACACTGCAACTAAAATAATAAAATTAATGTATCAAAAGACTAGTACAAGTTTATCCAAAAGAAATTGGAAACATATCTTTCTGCTCAAACAACTGTTCTTCTTAGTGTACCTTTTGATGTTATTTTTCTTTCTTGATTTTTGTAAAATCAAAGTGGCTTCACAACCACTTTGCAATATGAGTGTGGCCGGTTTCTTTCAAAACATACTTATTTTTGTGGGGAAAAAGAGAAAAACCGTACAGTATCATTTATATTCAAATAGGACCACCTAAAGTGATGAAAGGAATCATGGATACAAAAAATGACTGTTTAATGCTGCTTTTAAAAAAGCAGTTTTCAAGAGTCAGTGAGAATCAGGCTTAACAAATGTTTCATCTTAAAAAAAAAAAGTAATACATCTTTTTCAACCACTTTACCCCTTTCTTTACCAGAGCGAATAAGGGAATTGGTTTATCAGAGGATAAAACATGAAGAGGTCACTAAATTGCCTACATGACAAACAGGCACATTATTTAAAGTATTCAGTGTTACAAAGCCAAATTTTCCCTATGCTTCAGCTTTATAAAAATTAACAATGACAGTAATTTTTGCAGCTTTAGAATCAATCGGTGGCCTATATACCCTAGTTCTTCTCTACCTTTGGGAGTCATGCTTGCCCTTAGTATTCAGTTCAATCCTTCTTACACAACTACAGGATTTAGCGGTCTTTAATGGAGTTCTCCAGCTGAATATTTCCAATAACGTCTAGAAAATCTCATGTCTCAGAAATCAGCCTGGTGCATGCCCCTGGTACCTGCTGACTCTCTAGAGGCTCCCCACTTGGAGGTTCCTCTTAGTATTTCTTAACTGCTTCTTTAGGTCTCCATTGTCTTCCCTCCAAACCTGAACACTGACACCCACCTTCTCTTAATTTCCACATGATGCATGGATGACCCTGCAGTGAGATTTACAAAAATTTTACTGGAAAATCAAGGACTTTTAGAGGAGAAAGGAGAAAGTTTTAGTGAGTTAGTGCAGTGCTTCTCAAATGTGAATGCTGGAATCCCACTGATTCTAAGTCAGTAGGTTTGGAGCGGGGCCAGAGAGTCTGTGTTTTTCATAAGCTCTCAGTAATGCTGATACTGTTGGTCCATGGTCCACACTTTAAGCAGTAAGGGTTGGAGGAGTTCATAGTTCCTAGGAGTGATAGGCCTTTTCTTCCCCCAGGGATTTCCTCTGCTTTTCTCTCCTATCTCTAATGTTCAAGGGCAGTCCATATATCTCATAGGGACTGCCTTTAGACCTGTTTTCCTTAACTAGAGCTTCTTTTCCTCCTAACTCTTCTCTATACCAGGTCCCTATTCATCCCTTAATTATTCCACCACCCCATACATCTTTACTTGCCTCCTTTCCCAACCCTTATGTTAAAACAACACAAATTTTACATTATTATGGAGAGTAGTTTAACTCTTTATGTTCTCAACCTTTCTATTCCAGAAGATGATGTAGACTTTGCATTGCTTAATAATCAGAAGGCTCAAACAGAAGAGTAGAACTCATTCAAAGGTGAATTCTGAACCACCAATCCCAAATGGTAACTAAAATGGCAAATTGTCCCCCAATAGTAGGACATTCAGAATATGGTGTGTAACACATCAGAGCTAAAATATACTTCAGATTATAAGGAAAGGGGGACTCTAAAAGTTTAAATGACTTGCCTCAAATAGTAGCCATTGGAGTGAGGACCAAATAGCAAGTATTTAGACAACTAGGCTCCCAGGTTTTTTTTTTTTCTTTTATAAACAGTTGCTTTAGTCAATGTGGCCACTAAACTTGACAATGGTTGTACATAAGCAATGACATGAGCAGTGTCATATAAGCAAAAATAAGCAGGGAAATAAGAATATAAATAAAGTGTTGATCTAATATATAGAAATTAACCACTATTAAGATATTTCATCATATTGGGTAGATATGGGCATGTAGTTGTCCCTTGGTGTCTGTAGGGGGTTGGTTACAGGACTCTCAGAGAATACCAAAATCTGAGGATGCTCAAGTCTCTGATATAAAATGGCCTACCCTTTACATATCACCTATGCATTCTCTTGTATACTTCAAATTATTTCCAGATTACTTATAATACATAATACAATGCAAGTCCTATGTAAATAGCTGTTATACTATATTATTTTTAAAATTTGTACTATTTTTATTGCTACATTGTTATTGTTTTTCAAATATATATGCATATATTTTTTATTATTGTGCCTATTTTATTTTATTTTTTATTATACTTTAAGTTCTGGGGTATATGTGAAGGAAGTGCAGGTCTGTTACATTGTTATACATGTGCCATGGTGGTTCACTGCACCCATGAACCCATCATCTACATTAGGTATTTCTCCTAATGCTATCCCTCCCCTAGCTCCCCATCCTCCCAACAGGCGCTGATGTGTGATGTTCCCTTCCCTGTGTCCATGTGTTCTCATTGTTCAACTCCCATTTATGAGTGAGAACATGTGGTGTCTGGTTTTCTATTCCTGTATTAGTTTGCTGAGAATGAATGGTTTCCAGTTTTATCTATGTCCCTACAAAGGACATGAACTCATCCTTTTTTATGGTTGCATAGTATTCTATGGTGTATATGTGCCACATTTTCTTTATCCAGTCTATCATTGATGGGCATTTGGGTTAGTTCCAAGTCTTTGGTATTGTGAATAGTGCCACAACAAACATACGTGTGCATGTGTCTTCATAGTAAAATTATTTATAATCATTTGGGTATATATCCAGTAATGGGATTGCTGGGCCAAATGTTATTTCTAATTATAGATCCTTGAGGAGTCACCACACTGTCTTCCACAATGGTTTAACTAATTTACACTTCTACCAACAGTGTAAAAGCATTTCTGTTTCTCCACATCCTCTCCAGCATCTTTTATTTGGCCAAAAAGTCAAATAAAAAGTTGTTTTTGACTTTTTAATGATAGCCATTCTAACTGGCATGAGATGGTATCTCATTTTGGCTTTTATTTGCATTTCTCTAATGCAATGATGATGAGCTTTTCTTCATATGTTTGTTGGCTGCATATATGTCTTCTTTCAAGAAGTTTCTGTTCATGTCCTTCACCCACTTTTTGGTGGGGTTGTTTTTTTCTTATAGATTTGTTTAAGTTCTTTGCAGATTCTGGATATTAGTCATTCATCAGATTGATAGATGGCAAAAATTTTCTCCCATTCTGTAGGTTGCCTGTTCATTCTGGTGATAGCTTATTTTGCTGTGCAGAAGCTCTGTAGTTTAATTAAATCCCATTTGTCTATTTTGGCTTTTGTTACCATTGCTTTTGGTGTTTTTGTCATGAAGTCTTTGCCCAGACCCATGTCCTGAATGGGATTGCCTAGGTTTTCTTCTAGGGTTTTTATGGTTTTAGGTCTTATGTTTGAGTCTTTAATCCATCTCAAGTTAATTTTTGTATAAAGTATAAGGAAGGGGTCCAGTTTCAGCTTTCTGCGTATGGCTAGCCAGTTTTCCACAGAACTTACAGATATACTTAACCTCTTCAAGTTATTTTCATTAAAGTAAAAATGAAAACTAGAAAACTATTTTTAAATAATGATTTTGTATATTTAAATACACAATTAACCTACTGGAAGAATTCAGATGAATGCCTTTTCATTTAATGTTTTTATCAATTTCTTGCTGTCACTCCCATTTCACATCCAATTAGAAGTGTGTTTGTGATCATTTTCTATGTATACCAGGCAATAGGAAGCTTTGGCCTTGGTCAGCATTCCGATTTGTCAGCCACTTGGGATTTTATAAATGAAATTAGAATGATTAACTCATTGTTCATTTGGGACTATAAAGGAGTTTTAAATTATCATATACTTCCTTTAAGCTGCAAAGGCAGACTGTATGACACTCTGGGTATTTTTAGAGGCCTGTTTGCAATGGGGGTCTGAGTTTGGCCTGTAGGATTTATCCATACCCCAGTTTGGAGAGTTTATTTCTAAGAGTGTTTATAATTGATTCTATTTTCTACCCATTCTCCTTAGGGGGAACCTTTTACAAAAGGAGATAAAGGAGATAAAGTAAGTAAATGTTTTATCACTATCTTGGGTTTTCTACTTGATTGATTTGTTTTGCTCTGATTTTCTGGCATGTTTACTTTGGAGTCTAACAAATTTGATTAAATAAGGTCCATGAGATTTTACTTCTTCCTCTGTGATTTAAGTCTTTTATTTTGAAAATAAGAAATTTTAAGCCTTGTTAAGTATTGTCATGTGAGGAGACTTTAACATTGGTTTGAGTCTTCTAATACTTTCCTTAACCAATTACTAATAGTAATTGGACATGAATGTTATAAAGACATCCACGTAGGATATCACAAATATAAAATTAAAATGAAAGATACTTTTTTCCCTAAAATTCTGTTAATGGCACAAACTGGATGTATCAAATATATTAATAAGCCACAGAAAATAAAAAAGCAAACTTGTTATAGCCAATATCATCCTTTTTTGTATAACCTTAATTTTGTTGTGATTTTTTTCATTAAGCACATACAACTAAAAGTCGAATCACCAACACATATTACCTTAAATTCTATTCTCCCTCATTCCTTCTCTGAAGTCTTAATTCTCTGGACATGAGATTAATTGGTGGCAAATTATAACTATGTCAGCTAAGTAGAGAATGCAGTGATTGCTAATGGGACATGATAATTACAGTGTCAAAAGTGGCATTGGGGGAAAATATTATAATGAGGCAAGAAATTAAGAAAGTATTGTTTATTTATTAGTAATAAGTATTTTGAATCATGTTTTAGAATGAACTCTCCTTGATTTCATTATGCCTTCCGTAATTTCCCTTTGTATTGTATGTTAATTAGTAGAAATTCAATGAAAGTATCAGAGATGTCCATCTCCATCTGAATTTAAGCATTACCCATAGAGTAATTATTTTATTTACAGGGAGAACCTGGGATAATAGGATCACAGGGAGTAAAGGTAATTTCTGGCATTCTTCAATTTCATCTCCAATCTTAATGAGATTATAAAAATTAAAGCAACATTGATCTTTCCTTTGCCTTACATGTTTAGGGTGAACCTGGAGATCCCGGTCCCCCTGGTTTAATAGGAAGCCCAGGACTAAAGGTATAGAAGAAATAACTAAGATTAATTGGGAAATAATTGGGGAATTATAGCTGTTCTGTGTAAAACAATGTACTTTGGTGTACCACTCATTTTCTTCACAGATGCTCTCTGAGACTTTATCCTGTTTCCATGGTGATTTTCCTCCATTGGCTGCATTGATTACACACATAGTAACTGTCTTTGGTTCACAATAGGATTTCTAAACTCTTTTTCAGAGCACATTCACAGTAGCATCCCTAAAAGCTGTAAGAGTAAACACTGTGAGCTAAATGACCTTGAGCTATATTCTTAAAAGGAACAAAATTCAAGATTCAGTTTCTAAACCAAAATTATGCAGCCTTGAGGTGCTTGAGTTTCCCAATTGGGATTCTACAGGAGTGTCCTAAGAAAGCAGCTTTTGGAATGTGCAGGAGAAATTAATGTGATGTGCTCCCAGACAATGGGTAGGGCAAGTTATCCAATTACCACCTGCTCGTGAGAACAGATCCATTAACTAAAAACATCTGGAGACTATCTTGGTAAGCCCAAAGTATATTTCAGTATTACACAGATAAAGTGGGATTGTGGAAAGTTGGTCTTCCTATAGGTAAAGATCACATTATGCTTTACAAACACTCAGGTACAATCTATTTTTTTTTTTTTTTTTTTTTTTAGCAAAGCTAAAGCATATACTACCTTTTATTTTAGGGTCAGCAAGGATCTGCAGGCTCCATGGGACCCAGAGGACTGCCAGGAGATGTTGTATGTATAATGTCTTTGATATTTTTGAAATGAAATTGAGACTAGGACATGTTTTAGTAAAACATCAACATCTGTTCAAGTAACTGAGATCCCACATTTCCCAAAGATATGGGTCATCTATGCCACTAAAACTATCATACCTAATATCAGGAGCTATTGGGAAGACTAGACCCTTCATATATTCATGTGAGATCTTTTTGAGTATCATTAGCCTAATAAATTGTTTTTTGGAACTCAGGTTAATTAAATTATCATTTTGGACATGCTTCTCAATGCTGTACCAGCAGTAGAGAAAATTAAAAATGTCAAAAGAACACCGAAAGAGAAAGCAAACATTTTCAATATACATAGATTTTAGTTCAAGTGTCCTTCTAAGGAAGACACTTCCAAACCTCTATTGTTTTCTGGCCAAAGCCTTCCAAGGAAAGCAATGCTTTTAGCTGAAAATATGTCTGGAGGAAGATCGACAGATTGCATTATAACCTAGCTTTAGTGGACTTAAAATACTCAATGGACCCTTCTATTCATTATCCGCATCAGCTTTGTATTCCTTGAACAAGCCTTCCTAGCCTTCTGACAACTTGGGAGCTGAGAGCTCTCCATCAGTTCACACTTCAGAAAAATAAGAAAAGTCCTTGGCCAGAACTTCTTGGAAACCGATCACTATCTGACTATGATTAGAGTTCCCTTCAGGCCACTTTTAGGATCTCTCCTTTTTTCATGCCCCGGGAACAACCCCTTGACCTAGTGTTCTATTCTCCATGCTCACTGCTTGAGTGTCTCCTATCTATTGGTCGGTGCACATATTCTCCTTGGTACTTTGAACACCCAGTTTATAAAGCAAAGTTTTGTATCACTCCCCTACGCCAACTAATGGGCCACTGTAGGTAAACCTAGTGGACAGATCTTATGAAAAGAGAGACAATCCTGGTGGCACATGTGGAGCCACAATCCTCAAAAACTGAGATGAAGTGATAGTGGCTAGAGCTATAAAGAGAACAAAATCAAAAGAGAAAGAGCCACTGTTTCTAAACATAGTAAAAATACATTTTTCTAGTTACCCTAGAGTCCTCTGAATCATTATGTGATACCACCAACCACCATCCTTCCTCCATGGCAATAATATGGGTGAGACATTCAGTTCAACTTGACTTTAGTTTCTAACCCATGGCATCCAGGTGGCTTCACTTGAAACAACAAATCACGTAGAATCACTAACATTTTTCCAGATCTTAAAGGCCAAAATCAATCCAGCTCCTTGTATTAATAGATTATATGTTAAAATTCCGTTCTCTTGACAAAGATTCACAGATATAGGGAAATGTTATAAGAGATGTTCTCATTCCTCTTTCTTATTAACTCTGAGTTTTCTAGGGATTGCCAGGAGAACATGGTATCCCAGGAAAACAAGGCCTTAAAGGAGAAAAGGTATAGTTTACATTTTACTAATTTTATATGTTAAGTAGATAGGAGGAAAAGACAGAGGATCATAAGGTAAATGAAAGGACAGCCCAGGGCTTCTGGGATTGTGCAGGGGACAGACATTCATATTAATTACAATGTAAATGACACCCCCTAGAGTTGTGTGTTTTGGCAGCCCTGGTTCTAGCACAGGAATGCCATGTGGCAAAATGAACTAACTAAGAGATGAAGATATCAGGAGTCTGAAAGTCAAGCTCAGTTACCAATTCTGGTATAACCCTAAGAAGTCTCTTAATCTTTCAGGGTCTGTTTCTTGATATCTACATGGAAACAGTGTATTAACATTGAAAAATTATTGGGGAATAACTTAAACATAAAGATCATCTAGAGAATTTTATTAATAGATACGCCCTTTTGGGCATATACATATATATATGTATATATAGACATGCATATGTTTCATGATACTGCTAACATAACTAACTGCAAAATCTAAATGCACTGAACAGTAACAGGCATGAATTAAATACTTAATAAATATTATTGAATGAGTTGGTGAGTGAGTGAGTGAGTGAATCAAGTTTGACTGGTTATGATGGCAACTTAAAACAATGGAAACCACTGCCTCCTTCTCACTTCCCATCATGAATCTGAGCATTAAAGTAAGAATGTTACCTTGTTTTCCACAGGGAGATCCAGGTGGGATCATAGGCCCTCCAGGGCTTCCAGGTCCAAAAGGTGAGGCTGGTCCTCCAGGAAAAAGCCTGCCAGGGGAACCAGTAAGTATTAGCCCTTTTATTAATATTTTTCTTGCAAGTTCATTAATTACTACTTGTGGGTTCGTAGTTTCAGATCACAAGTATGGGAATAAGTTTAGGTCTACAAAAAAAGAAAAAAACAGAATTACCATTCGACCTAGCAATCCTACTACTGGGTTTCTTTTCCCAAAAGAAAATATATAGTTCTACCAAAAAGACGCATGCACTCATATGTTCATTGCAGCTCTATTCACAATAGTAATGACATGGAGTCAGCGTAGCTACCCATCTACCGTGGAATGGAAAAAGAAAATGTGATACATATAACCATGGAATACTAGGCAGCCATACAAAGGACAAAATTATGTCCTTTGCAGCAATGTGGATACAGCTAGAGGCCATTATCCTAAGCAAATTAATGCAGGAACAGAAAACCAAATACTGCATGTTCTTACTTACAAGTGGGAGCTAAACATCGGTTGCACACCAACATAGATATGAGACATGGGGGACGACTGGTGGGGAGAGTGGAAGAGAGTCAAGGTTGAAAAACTGTCAGGCACTATGCTCACTTCCTTGGGTAGCAGGATCCTTCATGCAATAAACCTCACAACACGCAATTTACCCACGTAATAAACCTATACATGTACCCCGAACCTAAAATAAAAGTGAGGGGAAAAAAATAAATATTCATCTGTTCATCTTATTCTTTTTTCTTGTTTTATTTTTTTGAGACAGGGTCTTAATCTGTTCACCCAGGCTAGAGTGCAATGGTGCAATTATGGATCACTGCAGCCTTGACCTCTGGGATTCAAGTGATCCTCCCACCTCAGCCTCCTGAGTAGTGGAAACTATAGGCACACACCACTATGCCTGGCTAATTTTTATATTTTTTGTGTAGATGGGCTTTCCTGAGCTCAAGTGATCTGCCACCTCGGCCTGCCAAAGTGCTGAGATTACTGGCACCTTATTCTTTAAATCAGAGATAAAACTTCTTAAAAGTCGGATAAGCAAAGGGCTTTCTTCTGAAGAAACTATACATGCATGCATCATTTTGCATATGATTTTGGAAGATCCCTAGGCCCCCTGAATCCTAGGCATGGATTCTGTAGATATCTATGAATTCCAGTGAGGTATACTGGTTGTAAACCATAGACATTCCTAGGGCAGTATTGCAAAACAGAAAAACTACCTGAAATTTCCCTTCCGGAGGTTTTGCAGGTATCACCATGGTTTGCCATTTGCAGAAAACATCTTTGTGACCCAGGCTGCTCCCAGGACATTGAAAACTGGACTGATGGAAAATCTAAATAAACAATATTTTTATAATATGTTTTAGGTGCCTTTGTTTCTCATCTTTGAACTTTTTATGTTATTTAATAATAATATTTTTCAATATCAGATGCCTCATTTTAGAAATAAAAACCTTTTGTATTTTAAAACAACTATACAAAATCTATAACTTATTGAAATTTGTACTCCCTGTTCCTTATTCTTTTATAGAAAAAAATTTATTCAAGTGATATGAAGAGTGATGAAACATATTTTAGTTGTAACTTCTAAGGTGTTTGTAACCTTTCTAGAAGAAGTTATGTATTAATGTATTTTTTCTTTTAGGGATTAGATGGAAATCCTGGAGCACCTGGTCCACGTGGGCCAAAGGTATGCAAATATTATAGTTAATTTTTAAGGAATTAATAATTAACAATATATAGTGGAAAATAATTATGTCTCTTGAGCCTAGCACTAACAGAAGCTTCTCATTTCACAGGGTGAAAGAGGACTTCCAGGTGTTCAAGGTTCCCCAGGGGACATAGGCTCACCAGGGGTAGGAATTCCTGGCAGAACAGTAAGTGAAATTCAGTCATGTCCTTGTTGATTCCAATATCATGAAATAAAATCCAGTGTCAAATTTTAACTAGGAGAAAAGAATAGAAAGGTCAGAGGAGGAAATACAAATACACACTATCCAGAGAGGATTGATGGGCATTAAGGTTGTATCACTTAAGCACAGAGACAGTACACACTGTTTGTTTATTAACTTACAGATGCTTCTCACACATACACTAAATTTGGAATAGAAGCAGTCATTTAACCCTCACACTTCCATTCTATATATTAAAAAGCACACATGAATGTTTGTAAGATGGTAAGAATGCCCAACATTAGGTCATTATACATTAAAGCTTGTTTTTAATTAAAACAAGAAGTTAATATTTAAAGTGGATGGAGTATGCATAAGTGAAATGACACCAGAAAGGCCTAAGTAATGTCTTCAGAGTGAAGATATGGTGTTTTCAATAGTGAAAACAAATAATAGGCAGTTTTTAAAGTATTTAAACTATAAGGACAGAGCCTAGAACAGCCTCTATTAATAATGACTGCTATAACCACATTGTAGACCAAATAACAATAAATTATAAAATTTTCATTTACTGCAAAAAAAAGATTTTTGAACAAGAAAAGTGGAAATAGATGGTTATTCTAATGACATTAATTTAGAAAACTGGACTGTGGTGTAATAAACTAGCTTTTTTCCTACTATGCTCTTAACATTCAACATAATACAATTCTGACACCAGCTGTGTGGGGTTTTTTTTCCCATCAATTCTCCAATGGATATAAACTGGATATTCTATTAGGCAATTCATTTCTGATACTATCTAACTGGAGTTAGAGTCAGATCCCACAAAACTGACCCCTACTTCAGATGCCAACTGCATATCTGGGCCTTCATCACTTCTGTCCAGCCAGCTATAAGTTGGGAGTTCCTATGACCCCCACATCAGGTTCTATAGTTTGCTGGAGTGGTTCACATAATCAACTAATGCTTTCTTACATTTACTGCTTTATGATATCAGTAAAGGATATGCTAAAGGGTACAGTTGAACAGTCAGAAGGAGAGATACAAAGGAAGAGGTCTGAAGGGTCCCTGAGTGTAGGAGCTTCGGTTGGGGTGTGTCATGGAGTTGGGAGTTGGGGTGTGTCACTATCCTGACGTGGGTGTTTTTACCAGCCTGGAAGCTCTCTAAACCCCATATTTTGGGATTTTATAGAGGCCTCATCATGTCAGTAAGATTGATAATTAACTATATTTCCTGCCCCTCACCCCTCTTCAGAGAATGTGGGGTGGGCTGAAAGGCTAAGCTTCTAGCTGTGGCTTGGTCTTTTTGATAATCAGCTCCTATCCAGAAGCCCACTGAGTGTCACCTCATTAGGACAAAAAAAAGCTCTCCTATCACCCAGAAAAGCCAAGGAACTAGGAGCTCTGTGTCAGGAACCAAGGCCAAAAAACAAGTATTAGAACAAAAGTTTCTCTTAGCAACCTACTGTTAAGGAATTGGTGAGGTTTTCAGGAGCTCTGTGCCAGGAACTGGGGGCAGAGACCAAATATTATTGTATCACAATATGATATCCTTATATTGAAGTTACTATGAAAAAGTTAAAAGAAAACATAAGTAGTGAAGGGTTATGTTGTGTGTGATGGTTTTCTGATTTGCCAGGGCAAGAATGTAAAAGACCATTGGAGATGGAATTAAACAAAGTAAGAACTTGTATCAGAAAATTATTAGGGGCTCGACACAATGGCTCATGCCTGTAATCCAGCACCTTGGGAGGCCAAGGCAGGCGGAACACTTGAGGTCAGGAGTTTGAGACCAGCCTGGCCAACATGGTGAAGCCCCATCTCTACTAAAAATACAAAAATTAGTCAAGCATGATGCCTGTAATCCCACCTACTCAGGAGACGGAGGTAGGAGAATCGCTTGAACCCAGGAGGCGGAGGTTGCAGTGAGCCGAGATTGTGCCACTACACTCCAGTCTGATGACAGAGTGAAACTCCATCTCAAAAAAACAAAAAAAGAAAAAGAAAGAAAGTAAAATTATTAGGGAAGTGATGATGGTTGAAGAAAAAAAAATCACTGAGGAACACAGGATAAATAGAAAGGGAGCAAAAGTAGCTTTGACAAGAGCAGTGATATGAATCTTTATTTTTTTTTAATAAGAAGGGCAAAGTCAGTGAGCAGTTACTCCAGTCAACTGCTAGAAACCAGCTCTTGGCTTACTTAGATTGCAAATTCCTTATGCAGAAGTTCATGGTTACATAAGAGTGGTACAACTAACATCATTAAGTTCCCCAAAAATCTCCCAGCCTCATTTTATTTATCTGAAATTCTAATTTTCTAGAAGTAGAAAAAATAATTGATTAATATTTTACTTCCTACTCCTGTCACCGAACACTGGTTCTGGCAATTTCATTCAAGAGATAAATGACTCAAAGTAGAAAGCAGAAAAGAAAAGAAGCCCCAAGTCAGTTATGCCTGTGGGCGGTCAGTTTCTGACAGATGGAATTTGGATGCATTCTTTGTGCCCTCATGAATGTGCAGTGACAGATTATGGTAATGAGATAGATGTCCCAGGTTTCTGAGCAAAATCATGTTGATGTTTCCAGCAGCAAGTATCTGATTAAGCATTCACCTACGACCTGAAAGTCTTGGCCGACTTTGCAGTTTTCCATGTGTGACTGGTGGCAAACCCTGTTGTCCCTCTAAGTACATTACAATGCTTAGTCTTTTATCTCACTTGGATAATTTAGGACATTCTTGGTGGAATTTTGATAATAAAATCTCATTTTACTCAGGGCTCCCAAGGACCAGCTGGAGAGCCAGGTATTCAGGTAAGCTACTTAACTAATTTTTTAGCACAGAAAAGCCAGCTTACTTACTTGGGGGAAATGACTGAAAGACCATCCTCATAAGTAACTTTTAATTTACCCCCTTTTCCAGGGTCCTCGAGGTCTTCCTGGGTTGCCAGGAACTCCAGGGACTCCGGGAAATCATGTAAGGACTTTCTTTATCTACCCTCCCCCATTTTCATCTTGCACCTGTGCCAACATGCAAAGATTGAACATGGATACCTCTGTTTTCAGGGAGCTCCAGGGAGGGATGGAAAGCCAGGCCTGCCAGGCCCCCCAGGTGACCCGGTATGTAGGCAGAACTTGTCTGATTTATGTATCTTAAATGCACTCCGAAGCCAAACAGCCTACCAAGCAAGTGTTGCTGTCCAAACTAATTAGAATGCTTGGTGACTACTTGGTGATTTTGTTTATCCCCATTATTTTGTCGAAGGAAAAAAAATTCAGGCTGGGTCATCGTTTCTGTGTGTGTGATGAATACTTATTTCCTAAGGGTATAATTCAACTGTACAATTTTGCCCCAGGCTGAGCCTTGGCATATAATGTCTTAATCCCATTGAAAAATGAGATAAAATATATCGCCATAATTTCTATGCTTTCTAATGCTAGTGGCTAAATGAATTTCATTTTTCTAAATGAAATTTTTCAGGTAAGTTACCTACAATATGGTACAGAGCCATTGATTCTGTAGCTTTAAAATGTTGTAATGATTAAATTATGAAAACTGGCTTGAGTAGGCTCTTAAAAAATGAGTTGAGGCACTAAATGTGTGTTCCAGAGTTTTATTTTAGGTTAAACCTTGTTTTGAGCAATAGTGAAATCTCTTTAAAAAGCTTCAGACTTGGCAGTTATAATTTGAGAGGCCATATGGTACATGACATTGTATTAAGAATCTTGTATAATAAAATCCAAATCTGCCTTCTCAGTTCTAAGCTTCACAAATACTTTCTGCCTCCCACAGTGTTTGGGCCTTATGTGCCTTTATAAGCTATGCGCAGAAGCATATTTTGGCATTACTTTAACACCACTGTTGAGTGAATCACTAGTGCGTTTTTTTCTGGGAATCTTGCAGAGTCTTACTTGGGTTTACACAGTGTCTTTCTGAAAGAACATCTTAAGACGTGGCCAAAATGGGACCCAAGTTCCTTCAGTGTTTACCTGTCACTTAAGCCAACTGTAGGTTCTTTTGAACTTTCATGAGAAACAACTTTAAGGCAAACTTATGTGGTACTTTTCATATTTCTCAACAGCCTGATAATGTGTTTTCCAGAGGAGTGATTTTCTTTTAATAAATAATTTATCTTTATGTATTATTTAAAACCAATAATATACTAGGGATGGCATAAAGGTTGCCATGAAAATATAAAATACAGATGCACAGTCAAAACTACGATATGTGTGTTTGCACATTCATGAGAGAAGAATAGTGAATATTTTTCAAAAATTGTTCTGAATTCTGTCAGTGCTGTGTGTACATTTCTTGATATGGAACATAATGTTAAGCCAATGATTCTGAAGTGAGACACTAGGAGCCACATGGCATTTTAAGGAAAAATATCTACATGGTACTGTATGTTTATATTGTTATTTTATTCATATATAAATACATATATTTGGTTTTATCTTCTTAATCACAGATTGCACTTCCTCTCTTGGGAGACATCGGTGCTTTGCTCAAGGTACTCTGTTGCTGTGTAAGAAATTGCATGTCAATTTCCAGGAAAAATCAGAAAGAAAATATTTAGCAGAAATTGAGTCAATTGCTTAGCTGGAACTACAATTCAATTCTTAAATGGCAGGACATCTTTAAGATAGGAAAATAAACATGTGTCTTTATATATCTTGTGCCATTTATTGTAATCCTTTCACTCTCTTCTTCTTTAGCACTCTCTCACTTTCGGTGGGGTAGTGGTGGAGGGCAGGGGGTAGGATAGTTATGAATTGGCTACAGGGAAGGAATTGTATCATTAGCACCCTGGAGTAGATTATTCTTTTCTCTGGAGGAATATCTTTCTCTTAATGGGTGTTGATCCACGCTGGCTGGTGAAACCTAAACCTTCTCACTGTATCTGTCATGGTCAGTCCCAAGATGAAAATCAGTACTGTTCTATAAACAGCCACTTACAAGGCTGAATTTTGATGTCATGGGATTTTACAAAATTCTAGTCAACAACTGCCCTAACACCTGTTACTCTGTTCAATAAAAATCATCTCTACCTATTATCATCTCAGGGAATTAATCTTGCTACCTTTTGGTTTTTTTTCCTCTAACACTTCCCTGTATTTCATCAGTAAAACAGATGGGGGGAATGATAATGGTATATATTTAAGGGTAGGTATTTGCATGTTTTTGCCTGGTATGCCAAGTAAGATTGAGTGAGCCCACATGAAAATCAGGCCCATGACTTTATACTGAAACACTATGTGTTGTATTTGTCTTTGTATGAATGGACATTGTGTATGTGTACACACACACACACACACACACACACACAGACTTTAGTTAGATATATATGATTTAGTTTGTATTTCTAGCATTTAGCTCAGTGATTTACACAATTATCAGCACAATAGTAAGCAGGCAAAAATATTTGTTTAATTGAATTCAAAAGACTTGAATTCTAGCATATACATTTGTAAGGTAATTGGAGTTTTGGGAATAGATATATAAAAGCAAGTATAAATATGAATATAAATATAAAAATATATTAAAGGAATTTCTAAGACCTCCAAAAGCCAGCAGTTTTTATAAACCAGAGAAGAATATTTGTGGGAATTTTAGGAAAATCTTATATTTACTGAGTTAAAATTACATCCCAGTCAATATGCCACTTTACTTACATCCTCTCATTTAATTTCCATAATAATCTTATGAGTTCAGGCTGTTGCAGCATTCCTACTCTATAGATGAGAGACCCAAAGTTCTCAGCAGTTAAGCAACTTTTTCAGAGTCACAGAGAAAGTAAATGTAACATTAGCACAGAAACATAGGTCCTCAGATATTAAGTCTTAGATTCTTTACAAGACAGTGTTGGAAATAGGATTGCAGCAGTTCTAATGTTTCAGAATACTTAGGGTTCTTTAAGGATGAGAGACTTGTATGCCTTAGTAGAAATGAATATACTGGTAGAATATGGGATCTCACAGAACAGATAAAAGAACCATGAATAGGATGAATAGGCTCTGATAGGAAGCGGAACCAGTGTTCCTGGGCTCTCAGAAGTGGAACTAACTGACAGTCTCGCCCAGGAATCACCCCTCTAATGAATGTGCTCTGCCGTTCCTCCAGTCCCTGCATCATCTCACCCAGGTTCTGAGTCCGTAGAGAACAGGATATCTTGAGTGATAGTCTCCACAAACTGTATACAATAGAAGAAAAGGGAGGCACATAGTTCCCCAAACAAAATCCAAATATAGGAATTCAGATTGTACAGTGGATATGCCAGGCCAATGTAATAACATAATGTTAAATCCTGATCCTGTTACCCAGTACATTAACTCTGTCTCTCTCTGCCTTGATTCTTTAGCCAATTTGATCATCCTGCTTTCTGTTTTCAAAAATTTCTTTGATTAAAGTATTAAAAAGAACTGGCATAACTCTAGGCCCCTTCAAAGGCCATCTTCTAGATTAATCAGTGTATCAATCCCTCTTTGAATGACATTGTGTATTGGTTAATAATTGATGCATCTTTATTCTTTTCATGAGAAAATCTTAAGACATTTTTCCAAGAATATTAGTAAAACTCAGTTTTTTAAAAAAATTTACCATTCTGGTAACCCAAAGAAAATGAAATCAGTTTCAAATGACTCTTAAAAATTATATTGGTAATAATGATTACCATTTTTCAGTGTTTTACTAAGACAGTCAATTGAATAATCTATTCTGAAATGTCACTCCATATTGATATGCCAAAGTTTTATACCATATTGAAATGCCATGTTTGTATCTGCAGATAATTATCTTTTTAATAGTTTTTGAAATATGGAAATCCTTTTGTTTCTCTTAAGTTCTCAAGTGTCCCGTTATCTTCATAGTTTTTCAAATATCAGTAATAGTTATATAAATATATATATTTAACTCCCCTATCAACACATTATCTCTGTCAAATAAACCAGGTGATAAAATTAGTCTGGGAAAGATTGCACATAACTCTAGCTTCTTTTTATATATTCAGACTCTAAGAAAGACCACCATGAAGAGAGCTGTTTAACCCAGCATTTTTGAGATGATTTGCCTCGTGTATTTGTCAAGGTTCCCTAGAGGGACAAAACTAATAGGATAGATGTATATATGAAAGGGAGTTTTATTTTATTTTATTTTATTTTATTTTATTGTTTGTTTGTTTGTTCGTTTATATTTTTTATTGTACTTTAGGTTCTGGGGTACATGTGCAGATCATGCAGGATTGTTGTATAGGTACATACATGGCAATGTGGTTTGCTGCCTCCATCCCCCCTTCACCTATATCTGGCATTTCTCCCATGTTATCCCTCCCCAACCTCCCTACCCTCTGCTGTCCCTCCTCTAGTCCCCCCCAACAGACCCCAGTGTGTGATGCTCCCCTCCCTGTGTCCATGTATTCTCACTGTCCAACACCCGCTTATGAGTGAGAACATGTGGTGTTTGATTTTCTGTTCTTGTGTCAGTTTGCTGAGAATGATGGTTTCCAGATTCATCCATGTCCCTACAAAAGTCATGAACTCGTCATTTTTTATGGCTACATAGTATTCCATTGTGTATACATGCCACATTTTCCTTGTCCAGTCTATCATTGTTAGGCATTTGGGTTGGTTCCCAGATCTTTGCTATTGTAAACAGTGCCACAATGAACATAGGTGTGCATGTGTCTTTATAATAGAACAATTTATAATCCTTTGGATATATACCCAGTAATGAGATTGCTGGGTCCAATGGAATTTCTATTTCTAGGTACTTGAGGAATCGCCACACTGTCTTCCACAGTGGTTGAACTAGTTTACACTCCCACCAGCAGTGTAAAAGCATTTCTATTTCTCCACACATCCTCTCCAGCATCTGTTGTTTCCAGGTTTTTTAATGACCGCTATTCTAACTGGCTTGAGATGGTATCTCAATGTGGTTTTGATTTGCATTTCTCTGATGACCAGTGATGATGAGCATTTTTTCATGTTTGTTGGCCTCATATATATCTTCTTTTGAAAAGTGTCTGTTCATGTCCCTTGTCTATTTTTGAATGGGCTTGTTTATTTTTTTCTTGTAAATCTGTTTTAGTTCTTTGTAGATTCTGGATATTAGCCCTTTGTCAGATGGGTAGATTGCAAAAACTTTTTCCCATTCTGTTGCTTGCCGATTCACTCGAATGATTGTTTCTTTTGCTGTGCAGAAGCTGTGGAGTTTGATTAGGTCCCATTTGTCTATTTTGGCTTTTGTTGCCATTGCTTTTGGTGTTTTAGTCATGAAGTGCTCGCCTATGCCTATGTCCTGAATGGTTTTGCCTAGATTTTCTTCTAGGGTTTTTATGGTGTTAGGTCTTATGTTTAAGTCTTTAATCCATCTGGAGTTAATTTTAGTGTAAGGTGTCAGGAAGGGGTTCAGTTTCTGTTTTCAGCACATGGCTAGCCAGTTTTCCCAACACTATTTATTAAACTGGGAATCATTTCCCCATTGCTTGTTTTCGTCAGGTTTGTGAAAGATCAGATGGTTGTAGATGTGTGGCATTGCCTCCAAGGCCTCTGTTCTATTACATTGGTGTACATCTTATCTCTGTTTTGGTACCAGTACAATGCTGAAAGGGAGTTTATTAAGGAGAATTGACTCACGCGATTACAATGTAAAGTCACATGATAGGCTGTCTGCAAGTTGAAGAGCAAGGAAACCAGTAGTGGATCAGTCCAAGTCCCAAAACCTCAAAAGTAGAGAAGCTGACAGTGCAGTCTTCAGTCTGTGGCCAAAGGCCTGAGAGCCCCTGGCAAACCACTAGTGTAAGCCCAAGAGTCCAAAGCTGAAGAACTTAAAGTCATGTTTTAGGGCAGGAAGCATCCAGCACAGGAGAAAGATGAAAGCCAGAAACTCAGCAGGTCAGCCCCTTCCACCTTCTTCTGCCTGCTTTATTCTAGCCTCACTGGCACCGATTAGATTGTACCCACCCAGATTGAGAGTGGGTCTGCCTCTCCCAGTCCATCAACTCAAATGTTGATCTCCTTTAGCAACACCCTCACAGATACACTCGGGAACAATGCTTTGCATCCTTCAATCCAGTCAAGTTGGCACTCAAATATTAACCATCACACCTCATAAGCTTTTCAGTATCATGCAGAATTAGTGTTCCAAGGAGCCTATTTTTGAAAATCAGATTTACACTGCTATTTATTAGGTCGAAAATATTGAACTTGAATGGCCATAGGCTTTCTTGCCAGCTCCTTATCAATGGCAAGCTTCACTTCCTTTTCATGTTTAAAGATTCTTCCCTTTAAAGAAAATGATAGAGAATAGAAACTTAGGTTGTCCTACCTTCTGTCAGCTGTTAACTATCTCACCCACTCAGTGGCCCTTATTCTCTTCCTTTCTTGGTCATATTCTTATTCCAACAATTTATTTAAAATAAGCCTAAATAGAGCTTTTCACACACTCTTTCTTTAGCTGTGTGATGAGAGTTATGTTTATCTTATGAGCTCAGACACTTGAAGTCAAGCCTTCCCAGATTAGCTAAAGGTTACAGAGAAGGCAATAGAGAGGTAATTCCACTTAGATTTCCTCTTGTCACTTGGATTTGACCTAGGAGTCAAGTCCAAGTCAGTCAAGTAATTATTTCTCTCGAGTGCCTCCACTGACAAAATGTTAGTAAAATGTATGTAGTTGGAGAACTAATTTTGCTCCCAAAAGGACAAATCCTCTCTTCACAATTTTTTGTTGTTTTTAAAATGATTTATGCTATAGGTTGTATGAATTCTGAAATCTTGCTAGGTTTCTAAACTTTATTACCACTCCCTTTTAAAACATTCTGCTAAACAACTGAACCTCAGTTTTTGTTCGCGACTTATGTGTCTTTTCCTTATTTATTTGGAATTTTCTATTTAGGTATCATTGAAGACATGTTTTTAAAATAGAAAACTTGTCAATATCATAAACAGATATCATTGATGAGCTTTGTAAAGAGTTTTTACCTTAAAAAAATTAATGCTTTTAAATGGGATAAATCAAGTTTTCTGAAAGCAGAGTGACCTAGCAATTGCTATATCACTCATCTCTGACAAAGGTTCAAGAAAAACTTCACATCATGTAAAACCTCACTTTTATAGATGGCTTTTATGACTCTCTCAGTAACCTTATCTTTATACTCATTAGAATTTCTGTGGCAACTGCCAAGCCAGTGTCCCAGGGCTGAAAAGCAACAAAGGAGAAGGAGCAGGCACTGGTGAGCCTGGAAAGTATGATTTCGTGACCCAGAAGGTGAGAAACCTGGCTGAGTTTTTAGGAACCCTGTAAGTTACATATAGTGCATCCACTCAATTCTATTCCTTCTCTGTCCTGCAGGGTGATATAGGGCCACGGGGTCCTCCAGGAATCCCAGGCAGAGAGGGACCAAAGGTAGGGAAGTCTCTCTTCCATTTTCCCCTGTGGAACCCTCAATTCAATGTGAAAAAAGGAACCCCATTTAAAAATATACAACTTTTAAAATACGTGTGTGTGTGTGTGTGTGTGTGTGTGTGTACATATATATATATGTAGAGAGAGAGAGAGAGAATGAAAGAGAGAGAGAGAGAAAGTGAGGTAAAAGCCACTTGCAAATGTTGCCATTTATTTGTTCCCTGACCCTGTCCAAATTACATACCCAAGTGTTCTTATAAAAGATTTTTTTTTCATTTCCAAAAGATAAGAGAAAATGATTGCGTGTGCTAGCTGAATGTATTGTCTTTTTAGGGAAGCAAAGGAGAGCGGGGCTACCCTGGGATACCTGGGGAGAAAGGCGATGAGGTAACAGATTCTTTCCTGATTATATAGTCCTAATATCGATTCTCTTTACATAGCTCAACAGAGTAAAAATGTTAATTTTTGTATAGCTCAGATCTAATGCTAGAACCAATAAAAACATAGAACACTTAGAGCTTTTAAAATGTTGACACATTTTAAATAACATGTTTATGTTTATTACCAATGGTCCACTTTTTGAGACAAAGAAATTAAGGCACAAAGTTAATATGTCAGTTACAATTTTTCTGTTTTCATTTAGCAGATAGCAATTCCAGCTCTCTCAAAACAAAAGTAAGGGAAAGGGGGAAAGGAAAATTTACTCAAAAGACTCCCAGGGTAGCTAAGAGATTTAAAGGAATAGTTGGACAACCAGCCTAGAAGTAAGGGCAGCTCAAGAACCCAACAGAGCTTCCCTTGGTAGCCCTAAACTATGATTCAACTTCAGCGACCTTGGATTGTCTGTTTCTTTGCTCAGCTTTCAAATCCTTGGGAGAAAAAAACTATCAGAAGAATCTTATTGTTCTAGTTTATATCAGCTGCTCACCCTCTGGATTAAGGTTCCAAGTCCAATGTGCTTTTGAGATAATAGTATAATTTTTTGACTCTAAGCCATGGTTGATGCTCAGGACATCATTTTTTTCCTACATAATTCACATTAACTCTTAGAAAAACCAATTAGAATGATGAATTGCTGTTAGTTTAAACAGTTTTGAAATTAATAATTCTTAATGAAAGTAAGTAAGCCATCTGGCATATATTAACCTTGATGTTATTGTGGAAAAATAAAGAAAATCTATTTTTCTAGGTGGAGTTATATTTTACATTGCCAGTTATCATCCTGTATTATTGTTTCTAATTAATATTGCTTGTATTCTAGAAAACTTTGAGGTTTGATTTTTTCCGAAGTTAAAAATTGAATACCAACACGTACAATATTTATTTTCATCCATAATTAAAACATAATCTTCAAAATAAGTTATTGTGCTTTTCCTTCCTCATGTTCCACAGAAAGTTTTACTAAAGCACAAGCATAATAACTGATTTTAATAGTCCAACAGCTTTTAACTGCCTCCACTCAAAAGTAGACTTTAAAGGCAATTGAGAAGGTAGTAACAAAAAGATCAGGAAATAATTGGAATTCAGGTTTTTTATAAGTTACTCTAAGTTAAATTTACTAGAAGTTAATTTTCATTGATTCTGCAGGGTACTTTGCTCTTTTGGTGAACTGAAATCCATTGTTAATATTCCTGCACACTTTAATGGGCTTTTTCTTTGGTACCCCTCATAAATTCTAACACAGTTCACAAAATTTTGGGCAATAATTGTTACATGGGGAGTTTCAGCTAGTTCAGAAGATTCTTTTCCATTGTTTCTTCATATCACGTGAATGATATGAATAAATCTGAAGTAACCTATTGACTCGTTTAGGCCTTGTAGAGGGAACAAGGTAGTGCAGCTTTTCCTCTAAGAGATGGGAAATAATGAATATAATCTTGTCTTCTATTTGGTCTCAGATATTATTTGAAATTACAGTTTGTTGATTTGTCAAAGTGAATAAAGCTTTGACCAAAAACATGTGAATTTCCAACTGACCAATAAACTATCCCATTTCAACATACAATATGAACATAAGATCTAATCTTATGAAATCTCAAATGTCTATTGTACTCTTAGTGGAAAAGATACAGAGAGATACCCCATCTCTTTAAGCCTTCTAATTATTATGTCTTTAATCTGTTTGGGAAATGAGAGGGAGGAATTGTCTGCTTGTTTATTACTCTTAGAAAAGCAACATTTTCTTCCACATTTTTCACAGACGTTGTTGCACAGCTTAAGGTAGCAATTTGGAAGATGCTAATAGAACACATGCTAACCTTTGATAGATTTCTTGCTTGAAATGCAAGTCTTTCTATAATATTTTAGGATAATAATTGATAAATTAGACATGAAAAGTATCATCAGCCAGATATTATAGCAACAGAAAATATTCTTGGTAGAAACTGAGCTAGGACTTGCAAAATCAAAATATCAGAGAAGGGTAAGAACATAGCTCCAGTAATCTCTGAATAGCTCTGCAATAAATTTTAATTCGTATTTTAGTTTGGCACTATATGTTAAATTAACTGGCCTACTCTTTAATATGTATTTGTCTTCTTTAATGACCATCTTGTCTTCTGAAATTATCTTATTGCCCTTTATGCATCCATAGTAACTTTTACTTTTACTACAGAATTTCAGTTTTTTCAGAGAAAGACTGCTGAGAATGATTTTTTATTTATGGACTGAGGTTTATTTTAAAGTTTAATGTGGTCATCAAAGGTTAATGAATCCCAAGCTTATAAATTAGACTACCTAAAAACTCACTCAGCATCTCTGGACTGATTCAGTGTTGATACTAAAAGTAGCAAAAAAAGGAATATATATATATATAATGCATGTACATGTAGAAAGAATTTAATGGAAATATGGGTATTTTGAGATAAAGAATTTCTGGTATAATAGTTATAATCTCCAGTCATTTACAAGTGCCATTATCAATGGAAATGTTTTTTACTTTGCATTTATAAACCTGTATACAAGTTAATTTTAGGGGAATAAAAAGAATGAGTTCCACATACAGATATGTTCAGCCTGCACATGCACACATGTCCATGTACACACGCATGCGCGCACGCGCGCGCAGACACACACACACACACACACAGACATACACAGTACTGCCAATGAGATTGATAAAATAATTTTGGAGAAAAAGTATGTCAACATTCTTTAACACAAACACACACAAGATTTTGCCCAAGACTTATGACATAAGGAATTCTAACATGTTCGAGTAAAATTTTTAAGCATTTCTTCACATCATGTCACATGAATAAACCGGAAGTAACAAATGATGCCATTTGGCTTTGAATAGACAAACCTGGAAGAACTTGGTCCTTGATCTCACTGATTCAAAGAACCTTGATCCAGCTCACAGTCCTATAGAATGCTCATAATCAATATGCAGTAACATTTCCATGGTCACGTCATCTAATATTTACAAAATATTTGAAAATTCATATATCATAATCGTAAAAGGTGAAAGAATTGTATCGTGACAAAGAATGGTATGGCAACATAAAAGGAATACTCAGTAAAAGAGACTAAATCCTGAAAGAGTGGAATCATTCAATCTAGAACTTGATGTATATTGCAGGATTATCTGAAATAACAAAGGGGTACTTTAAAATATTTTTTTTTCATTATAGAAGTGATCTCAGTTCACTATAGAAAATTGGAAAAATACACAAAAGCATTAAAAGATAAAATTTCTCCCTATTCCCACTACCCAATAAGGACTTCTGGTAATAATGCCATGGTCCACAACTGTATTAGTCCATTTTCGCACTGCTATAAAGAACTTTCCTGAGACTGGGTAGTTTATAAAGAAAGAGCTTTAATTGACTCACAGTTCCACATGTCTGGGAAGGCCTCAGAAAACTTATAATCATGGCAGAAGGTGAAGAGCAGGAAGCACCTTCACAAGGCAGCAGGAGAGAGAGCAAAGGAGGAACTTCCAAACACCTATAAAACCATCAGATCTTCTGAGAACTTACTCACTACCATGAGAACAGGATGGGGAAAACTGCCCCCATAATCCAATCACCTCTCTCCCTCTACATGTGGGGATTACAGTTTGAGATGAGATTTGGGTAGCGACACAGAGCTAGATCATATCAACAACACCTCATCTATAAATTCCAAAATGAAAGACTCAGAAAACCCTGGAAATGTTTCCTAAATTTGGCTTTGTTTCCCAAGCAAATTTTTTTGGCAGCCCAATCTGGCCTAACTCTCATGGAGCTTGTCTATTCCACTCTGTTAGAGTATCATGTTTTGCCACAGAAATATTTGTGTGTTTATTAGAGGGTATGGCTTCAGGCACCACTGGCAGTGTTACATGATATTTAGTGTGAATATCATGTTACCTATGAAATGAAGTATATCATGTTATCTATGAAATTCTGCCAGATCAGAAAGCAGTCTGTGATTAAGCTAGTCTGTTTGAAATAGAAATTGCATATAAAAGAGGATTCTATTTTTTATTTATAATTTTTTGCACTAAAAATTTATATTTTTGAAATTTAAAAGTTTCTGATAAAACTTTTATCTATTTGTCATGATAAAATAATAAAAGTCTGTATGTATCATTCCCATCTTTTAGGAAGTACATCTACAATTGTTTAAAAATTTAGACCCTGTGCTACAAATCTTATAAGATTTGTGACTTTTATTTTTTCATGTTATCTAACTTTTCTAAAACATAATTTTAATAATTGCAAAATATTTCTTGAAAAAGGTGAAAGATTTATGCGATCTGAAGAGAAGCCAGAATATTCATATTATAAATTGTATGTAACTTATTTAACAATATTCTGTTGTTGGCAAATGTATCAAAGTAACAAAACTAATTAGATAAGTGAGCTAATCTTGCCAGTTCTTCCTTGATATATAAATGTATCAGCATCTTAAATCCTAGCCAGTATAATTAGTGCTATTCTACAAATCTAAGGAGAGGAGGGAGGAGAAATCTATTCATTATTATGCTTAAGCCATTAAAGGGTTCCAAATTTAAACTCACCAATGAGCCAAATTTCTTATTATAATAAACTGATGAGCTAAAATAAATATTATATCATAAAACATATTACATTTTTCCCTAGCTGAATGAAGCTTCGGTGTAGTCATATATTTCTTCGATTGCATTCTGCCAATCTAAAATTTGTATTTCCATGTTTTACCAGTACAAGATTCTTAGATACTACTGCTGATGGAATGGCTCTGTAAAATCAGAAATTCTCTATGAATCACCAGATTAAATTATGTTTGCTACAGATTCCATGTCGTGGCATTTTAATTCACTCTTCTTACTCCTTAAAGCTGAGTATTTGCACATATTCTTACTTATAAGTGGGGGCTAAGCTATGAGTACACAAAGGCATACAGAGTGATATAATGGACGTTGGAGCCCCCAAAGCACTGAGTATAGACGAGGGGTGAAGGATGAAAAACTACCTGTTGGGTAGTGTACACTACTTGGGTGATGGGTGCACCAAAATTGAGGACTTCACCACTATACAAATTATCCAGGTGACCAAAAATCACTTGCACCCCTAAAGAAAAATTAATATTTTTGAAATTTAAAAATTAGGAAAAAAAGGGTATTTGATTTGTATATGACATACATTATGTTTCTCAGTTAGCTAAATATGTGTTTAATGTTCAGTGGTCAAAGTATTTGATTAACTAAAATGCCTTCTTCCCAATGATAGATTTTATGGTAGGAACTATCTTTTCCAGGGTCTTCAAGGAATTCCAGGCATTCCAGGTGCTCCAGGCCTGACTGGGCCCCCTGTAAGTATTTGTTAAAACAATTCTACCCACAGATCATATCTGCTGAGACAATGCAAGGTGAATTAATTTTCTTTATTGCCGTTTGTTTTCTGTGCCTCTATGTAGATTGTCCAGCTATTGCCTAGACAAGCACCCTCATCCAAGCTCTCAGATTTTCATTTAGTATTACTTAAGGCTGCTCAGTATCCTGGGTACTTGCAAGAAAATTCCACCAGATCAGAAAGCAGTCTGTTATTAAGCTAGTCTGTTTGAAATAGAAAATTGAATATAAAAGAGAACTCTATTTTTTATTTATAATTTTTTGCACTAATCTTTGTAAGAGATAGTCAAATGGCACCACAAACTGAGAATTTATTTTCTAAAGGAAAAAAATAGTGTGCTATGGATTATCAGATTTAATTTATTTTTATTCCTATGTATAAATTCAAATACCTCTGTTTTAGTCAAGACTTTTACTGCCCCTCAAACATACCATCAAGGCCTTTGTGTCTTTCACTGTCTTGTTTTCCTAGAACAGAATCTCTTTTCCTTTTGCCAAACACAATCTCTCATTCAAACAGAGTTTAATTTTAGAGTTGCCAGATAAAATACAGTGCATGCAGTTAAATTTGAATTTCCGATAAACGAATAATTGTTTAGTATAAGCTCATCCCAAATATTGTGTTTTTATTTGCTAACTCTGGCAACCCAACACATGCTTCAATTTCTCTACCTCATCCTTTCTTAGAGTTCCTATGCTGACAGAGTCTTTACTACACCAATAAAAATGAAATTATACTTTTTAATGTTTTGAAATATGGATTTGCTATAATTAAAGTTGTGTCATGTATGCTTTCACCACAGTTTTATAGAACAAACCTGGCTTTAAATTGTACCGTAAAATTAAAAGTGATGAAAAAGAGTTGTGAAAGAAATCATGAAAATTATAGCTAACTCTGTTCCCCAAGGATTAAAATTAAATTTATTTTTCAGTGGTAAAATGCAGATCACATAACTCAGTATGCATACTGTTAATTCTGCTGTCTTGAAGTATTTAAAATGGTGATCTCTACCAAAACTATAGCTCATTTAGGAAGGCATAATGTTATGTAAATTGCCATTTAAACAGCAAGACTAGATTCTTAAATGTATCAAAGGTTCCAATTAAGGTCATTAAATGTGATTGACCAAGGTGAAAAAGCGACCACAAATACAAATTTTACCCTTCCAAGGGCTTATCAGCAGGATACAGCTGCTGTATCAACCAGAAGAAATATAAGCTTTTAGGGTTTATTTAATTAGGATAAAATGACCTTCAAAATGTGTAAGTTTTAGTAACCAACTTCCAATACCCTTTGACCATTTAATTGTTGTTTCTGTAACAAACTTAGTTTTGTGTTTTACAGGGCTTATTAGGAAGAACTGGACATCCTGGTCCCACAGGAGCAAAAGGTGAAAAGGTACAAAGGAAAAAACCATCCAAATTGGGGCTTGGGGTGGGAGCAGGATGAGACTCTTCACAGAGAGAGCCATAAAATCAAGCAAAGCCTGAAAGCAGAAATGATGGCAGGGAATAGCTATTTTTGTAGTGAACTTGGAAGAACATAGGTCCAAAGGTTGTTCTAAACACAGGAGATATTTTCCTAGGAGAAAGGATAAATAGAACATTGGTGCCATATGACAAAAGTTCAGGCTGGATTCAGGATCCTGGGCAACCATCTATATGGAAGGATGAGGCTGGGGGAGCCTCCTGAAAGGATGCAAGTAATGCAGTGTGTACCAGGGAGCTACACCCACAGGAGCTATCAGTTTTCTATGACAAAATACCATAGTTGGAGTGGCCTATAAACAACAAATATTTATGCATATTTCTCACAGTTCTGGAGTGTGGGAAGTCCAAAATTAAGGTGCTGGCAGAATCAGTGTCCGACAGAGTCTGCTTTCTTGTTCATAGATGGCACCTACTAGCTGTGTCCTCACATAGTAGAAGGGTGACCAAGCTCCCTTGGGCCTCCTTTATAAGGGCACTAATCCTTTTTATGAAGACTCCACCCTCATGACCTAATCATCTCCCAAAGGCCCCACCAAAAGCTCCAGACAGCAGGCTGGCTCTCAGGACCAAGATTCCAGTAACTAAAGAGCTTGCCAAGACAGTCTAGAAGTTCTGTTCCTAGACGGTCATGGGGAAAATTCACTGAAGAACCAGGGTAGCTTATTTCCTGGGAGATCAGTTACTGGTCAGATGGGTTGCCGTGATCAGAAAGGAGGAACAGCAATAGAAGAGTCTCAGAGAGGACACCACACAGCTTCACATGTTTACCCTATTTAGGATCTAAATTGGCCCTATTGCCCTAGTCCAGGCAGAGCCAGAAAATAAATGAAATAAGCCTAGCTATTCAGATTAGGGAAATAAGAATCAAGAGTCCACATGTGCCACTCAAGCAGCTTCCACCCACTCATCAGGACACAAGTTCCTTGACCAACATGGAACATAATGACATCAAGGAGCAAATGAATCCCAACACATTTTAAAGAAAACAATGCCTTTATTCTAGATAGTCTCCACACATTTTTTTCTGATTTTATCCCAAGGAGCTTGCCCTACCCAACTAGCCTTTTTTCTCTGTTCTCTGTGGAAATTATTCAGTCATAGACTTGCCTTTGAAGTTAATGGGAATTCCACACTGAGATGAGCTTTGGGGCACAAATGAGAGTGAAGATATGACTTTTAATTGTGCCAGGGGAAAAAAAGGTCAGTAGGCACATACTTTTCCTTATTTGTTGACTCACGAGAGCTATGACATCATTCTTTGACGGACACTGCCAGTTGTCAGCAGAGTATGACATGTCTTAGAGAGATAGCCACCATCAAAGCAGTCTGGGAGAAGATACAATATGTTTGTTCTTTGTCACATATTCTCTGGCAGAAGCATTGCAAGAAAAACTTTACAGTTTATTTTTATTGATAAACATACAAACAAAAGATTTTATGATACTTTCTTTCGTTACTAAAAAATGGGAGGGTATTGAAATGAAGTCCTTCATTATATTTATGGAAATGGACTAAAACCCTCAAAATTCTTGGACATTGTGAGTAGAAATTTTACTCTATCTGAATTATTTTTTAATTAACCCTATCTTGCCATTTCTCCTGATATAGACAGACTTAAAAGATTTTATGAGGCTATTATTTTAAGAGAAAAGCAGAGTTATAGGAAGAACTGCTGAGAGACACCAGAGGGACTTCAATAGCTCTGCTTATTATGGACCAATAAACATCTATGGTTTGTAAAAATAAAAGTGAAATACATTTTTCAACTTTCAACTTGAATTCATTTTCACAAATTCCATTTTCAGTCTGCTTCTCCTGTAGGACTAAGACTGTTTAAACTGTACAGACCATTTGCTTTAAACAGTGCTATACCACAGTTACTTCTGTTCAGGGATATGTGTCTGACTTGGGTGTAAAGTCAGATATTAATTTAGGAAATGGAAGATGAAGTTTCTCCTCCTGCAGACACAACAACACAGGTTATGATTTTTTACTTTGGTCAAATTATGTTGATGTCCCCCCTGAGTCCCAAAAATGAAGGTGGTGGAAATGAGGCTCAAAGTGAGGACTGACTCGGAGTCACAATCCCAGAGCCCACTGCCTGCTTGTAGAAGAGTTCCACATGGGGAGTGTTCCCTCAGCTGGACTGGAAGTCCAGGACATGATCACCTGTGTTGTCTGGCTCCTTCTGAAAATAAGCTTCATTTCTAGAGCTCACACAGTGAGAATCCGAATGGGTATGGGAAAGGCATTTACCTTTCCTGCAGTGGGTAAAGGAGAGAGCCAAGCCAAGCTGAATGAGAGAGCCAAGCTGTGTAAAACTACAGGGCTGAAACAACATGGCAAGTCATACTGATTTCGGAAGATGGCTCTCTGATAAATTTCAGAAGATAGTTTGTAAACCTGGGGTAGAAATGTCTCCACCACTGATATTGGTCTATATATCCCTTGCAGGGCAGCGAGGGACCCCCTGGGAAACCTGGACCACCTGGACCACCTGTGAGTGTTCTAGACTTAAAATTCATGTGTCTGCTTAAGACTTTTTATAACTCAGAGATAAGACTACATTTAGATGTTTTCAAAGATAAAAGTCTTCCGAATTTTGTGTATAAATATAAATGATAGCCAATGTAGCTTTAAAGAGACCTGATTTGTTCCCCCTTTGGCTCAGCCGCAGTGTGCAGTGCTCAGATTTGCATACTGAAGGTCTCCCCATCTTGGATTTAGGAACCTGAGTTTGTGCTCCGACTCTCCACTTCCTGCCTTGGGGCCCCTGGGAAAATCAGTTAACCTCAGTGTGCTTCATTCACAGAAAAGAGAAGGGCCAGAAAACATAGTTCCTTTCCACTGATGTGAGTTGGTAGAAAATGATATTATGCTATATTTGTTCATTCCCATTCATAATGTCTGAGATGCAAGGAAACTCTATTTATGTAGCGCCCAGTGAACAAAAAGTACAAGAGCCGTCGGTGTTTTTATTATTATGATTGAGACAGAAGCCCACTCGGTCAGGGAAACTGGAGAGGAGAGGAGCTTCTCTCCGTGGCAAGTCTGCCCTCATGTGGGGCCATGCTCAAATCGCAGCCGAACAGAGCTCAGGTTCACCTGAGCTCTCACCAAACACCCTTTTCCACCCCACCTCTCTGGTGAGCCAAACTCACCAGAGAAAGGGCAGAATGGACTGTGACTTTCTAGAGACAATGAGGATTACTATCAGTCTGCATGCAGTTGCATGCTTTGTACACATAAATGAAGAGATTAGCACTCTATTTCCTAAACTTGTTTTTTAAATCTGTTCATCTATGTTACTGCCCTTTTCTCTTGGCAAGAAAGCAGGACAGAAAGTATTTAGGGTTCAAATCCTAAAATTCACTCCTTCCCTAGTGGGCAGAACAGCAAATATAACATGAGTTCATGAAAGAAACCTATAATTTTATAATGCACTTAAGATATCTTTGTCTTCCCTTTGAATTCTCCAAAACCATCCATCCTTCAAAACACAGATTAAATGTTGTCTTCTCTGGGAAACCTCCTTTGGAAATCTCAGATGAAAATATCCTTTGTCTCTCCAGGATCTAGCACACTAAAATATAGTAGACATTCAGTCACTGTCAGATGAATGAGTGAAATAATAAAGTAATAAATGGATGGAGCATTTTTCTTCCATCACTAGTGTTTTGAAGATGCATGCAAATTGTGTTTACAGAACACCACTGGCCACCATCATACGGAAACAATAAAACAGTGACTTCAACCCTGCAATTGACATGTGAAGATTGCAGAAAAGAAAAGGCAGATTTGATTATTGATTCTATAGAAATGTTTAAAAAGAAAGACAAAAGATCCCAAGTAAAATTTTCATACGCAAATTTTTTCTAAATGCTAAAATGTATCATTTTTAAAAAACATAGAATAACTTTTCCTTTAAGTCTTGGTAACTCTAGGACGTCAACTTTTTTCAAGATGTTCTTATTCTCCTTTGTCCTAAAGAATTTATTTTTGTAGAAACATCCACACAGGTTTGTGGATAACATCATCTCCCCATTTACCTTAATTTTCTATTTGATATGAAGAGACTGTGGAAAAAAATTACTCTTCAGTAGCCAAATTGTTCCCTATTCACATCTTCATCAGCACTACAGCATGATAGCCTGCAGGTCAGCAGGCTGTAAACAGTTAGTACAAATTGGCAATTCAGAAACTGAATTTTAATGAGCAAATATCTTCCTCCAAATGTGTTAGTGTCTCATCTGTCAAAGCTGAACATTAATCAAACCCCAACTGAACGTGTCTGTATGTTCCAGGTATAGCTCACACTCCCTTTTCATTTCTTTCCCTGCATTTGTTAAAGCTAAAAATGGAAACATTGTATTATTTTACTTAAAGTATTAAACTCCCTTTTTAAAATAGAATAGAAAAAACATAAAAATAAAAAACAGAATAAGAATAGTCTCATTTGGTAAAATGATAAAATGTAGAGATTCAAAGTATTAACTTACAAGAATAATTCTGTATCTCACTTCTTTCCTAAGGGTATTCCATTCAATGAAGGAAATGGCATGAGCAGTTTATATAAAATTCAGGTATTTATATTATATTTGTAATTACTTAAAATCATTTTCCAGTTATAGACTACTGTAAATTCTTCTCATCTTTGTCTTTTTCTTTTCTTTTCATTTTCTTTTGAAGGGAGGTGTGAATGTTCCCAGTTACCCAGGGCCACCCGGTCCTCCTGTAAGTACAGTTGTTTATCACCAAACGCACTTTAGTTGAGCAATCACAATGAAAAATAAACAATAAAAACCTCCTTAGCTCACTGAAAAATGTATGTTGCAAATGAAGCCAAATTTTGTAGCAGAAGGAAATAAGTATAACCAATTTTTTAAAAATGGAGAAAATGTATGCAGTCAAAATAATGGAAAATAGCACTTTTCATAGTGCTTTCATTTTTTTCAAAGAACTAAATCAATGTCTAAGCAATCACTTTTATGAAATTTCCATCAAGTTATATTTATTCATCTTCTTCTTCAAATTCAAACTGTAATTAAAGCGAAACTTGCTAATATTTTTATGTGTATTCAAGCAAATTGGACAATGGTGTTTCTTATTCTGTAACTTTGCTTTGGTCATTATTTGAAAAATGACTTTCCATGTTTCTCTTACAGGGCCCAAAAGGCGATCCTGGCCCAGTGGTACGAATGAATATTCCCATGTTTTGTGTCATTTAGAATATTGGTCTTTGTTAAAGTTTGAAAGAAAAGCATCAGGCAAAATGGCCTGCCTTCTTAGGTGTTCATCAATTAACATGTTGGAGGTGACAAGCAGGCCACAAAAGGAATGCCAGCAATGTGTTCTCTAAGATGCATTAGTTCTGATGTTTTCACTGCCCTTGAGGTTCGTCTCTTTCCATCAGTGTGTTTTTAAAATCATCTTGTGATGGAGGAAGGCACATATAAAGCTCTAAAAAATGGGACACTTTCTTCTAATAGCCCTCTTCTGATGATTGATTCCATTTTAAGTAGATTGTGGAAAAGAAATACTTACTGGAAAGAAATCCCTTAATATATCTGCCATCTCCCCAACAAAAATAGGAAGGAACTGTTTATTTGCTTTAAACATCTAAGGCAATTATTCTGCAGGAGATGTATTTTGTCATAAACCTGCTTATTAGGAGGAATGTATCAGGAGGTTACACTCAGCACGGAAGGAGATCATGTCCTCCAGCCGCCTAAAGGACAATAATTGTTCCCAGCATCTTTCTCAACCATGGAGCCTCACTGTAAAAGTTCTGCCAAATTCAGTTAGATGCCCTTTATTGCTGGGCATTTTGTCCTGTCATGTCCTTTTCAAGCATATGTTCCATCCTTCATGTTTCATTTGTATATCTTTTAACCTTTGGGGATATACTTGAAACTCAAATATACCTAAAGCTGAAATAAATTTTTAAACTACATTCAATTGCCATGTGAAAAAAATGTAAACCCTTTCATTATAGTACAGTTGGTTAAAACTCAGTGAATACATTTTAAACCAGCAAAGGGACAAGCCATATCAAGTAATGTTTTTATGTCTAAAAACATATTTTAAAGAGATGCATTTCAAGAACTGTTTGTTTTTGATATTGGGCAATATATAATAAAAGCCAAATTGTTGTCACTGAAAGCATTATTTTAGCTAGTAAGGATCATATTCTGAACCCCATTATAATTCAGTTTCTTTTATTATTTGTGCTACATAAGCTGCATTCTAATTTTAATTTTCTTACATCCTGTTGATAAAAATTCCCTCCTGGTCTTTCCCACTCATATTCATACACAGAAAACAGTTTCTCTGAATCATTTAAGAGCACCTAGGTTTCTCACTGACTTTTCTGTAACTTTCTTTGAAGTTCTTGCATTAATAACTGCAGATTAAGGAAAGAACTTTTTAAGTATTATAATAAAGGAAAAATTATAATTTAATGGCATTGGAAAGTGGCTGGCAACAAAAAAGTAGACCTATTTGAGTAGAATTTGAAAAGATTATTCTTCAAATTTCTTAGCTGCAACAAAAGATAAAGCATAAAAACAGATTGAGGAATGTTCCTTGATTTTAGAAATGTGAATTAAGTGAGTGAAGCACAGAAACAGAAAAATGCAATCATGAAATTAAATACACATTTAGTGTACACATTCAGGCTCATCCTAGATAAAACTTTGAAGTTACTGTACTCTTCTGGGTTCTGTGTCAGCACCACCATGCAACTTTCATCATCTCCCACCAGCTGCCCTGTAGGGAAAAATAAATAAATAATTTCATGCCATAGAAATAATCCAGGAATGATAGAATTGTAGCTCACAGAGCAAAAACTTGAGAAGCCTTTTTGAGGTGGGAAATTTACTCTTCCAACATTCTTCAAATACCATGACAATAGATCTGCCCCACTATTTCTAATCTTCTCTATAAACCTTTCTAGAGGAATATTACCCTTAATTGAATTTATTATCTTCTGAGGTGCTCTGTTTTGTTCCTTTGGTATAAGTGATCTTTAATTAAAATTTTAATTATTAGCTACTTTCAAATAAATATTGATTGATTGAGCACCTTCTCTGTCCTAAGGACTGTTGAGAATGTAAGCAAAGAGAATCAAAGAGTGTATTTCCTTTGTCAGCAACCTACGGCCTCTTCTACAGAGCTTTATGCAGAACAGAATCTGAACTTTTTTTAAAATCAATTGTCAAGATACAAATTAGGGGGCATTTAAAAAGATTTCTGAAGCATACAAAGCATATCAAGTCATATGCGCACTCATTAAGTATTCTGTAACAAGGGCAATGTTATAAATAATAATGAAGTTATATCCTTGGTAATATTTTTGAAGCAGATTGGAATTATGTATGCAAAAATACATTGTACAGAGAATACAATTTGAAAGCTCCTGCTTCTTTGTGATTATGTCTAAAGCATCCAGTGTCCTAAGAAAATATTTGCAGTGAACATTAATTTATTAACAAGAAGGCATCAAACAACTTTCTACTTTATCTCTTTTTAACTTAAAGCCCTAATGCAAGCTTGTCCAACCCATGGCCCGTGGGCCACATGCAGCTCAGGACAGCTTTGAATATGGCCAAGCACAAATTTGTAAACTTTCTTAAAACATTAGGAGATTTTTTGTGATTTTTTTTTTTTTTTAGCTCATCAGCTATCGTTAGTGGTAGTGTATTTTATTGGAAGAGAATTCTTTTTCTTCCATTGTGGCCCAGGGAAGCCAAAATATCAGACACCCCTTCCCTAAAGCTTTTTTTTTTTGTTCAAAGTTAGCAACTTCCTTCACCACAGCTTTTCCTAGTTTGTTCCTTGAGGACCTACAGGCTCCAGCTAGCCTGGGACCATACACTAGAAAATGTAAACATTTTTTAAAATAGGAAACACTAACCTACCCCCTTTCAGTGACTCATCAACTTGAGCTATAACTTTTAGAGTTATTGGAGATATTGTTCCTGGGGTCAACCTCTTAAGCATTCACAATTCTTGTCCAGCTGCAGAGAATATTTATAAATGATAAACTTTGCTTTGAGTGCTCCATCTTCATCTACTCTGAAACAGTTTATTCTTATTCTCTGAAAATCTAGCAGCACCAGGTTGCACAAATTGGTAAACTTTATTAAAGCCCCATCTTTCATTCCGGTTCTTATTGAAATTGGAGTTATCACTGAGCAGAGGGATTCATTCTGCTTAGATTGTCAATCAGAATAAAAATGATTAATCAGAAAATATACCTCTCTGGAGAACAGCTTTTATTCTCAAACTATTTTCAAACACCAAATGCAATAATACATTGCTTTAAAATAGAGCATATCATTTCCTTGCTAAATTACAATCAATGTTTGGGGTGGGAAGGCTAAGCAAAAATATCTTTACTTTAGAAACCAATGCTTAAAAACCTTTTGATTATTGCTCCTGCATTTTTTATGTTCATATTTAACAGGGAGAGCCTGGTGCAATGGGATTGCCAGGATTAGAAGGATTTCCAGGTGTAAAGGTAAGCACAGAAGTTAGAAATATGTTCATTTATTCAACATTGAAAATTATTTACTGAGCACCTAAAGTGCCCAAAACTGTCTTCGGTTTAGGGATATATAAAGGAACAAAACAGACAAAAATTTCCATACTCGTGGGACTTATATTCCAGCAAAAGGATATGGAAACTGAAAGAATAAGCATTTAAAAATACTTCTTATTGTTGGGGCTATGGAAAGAAAGAAAAAGTAGGATGGGTTAAGGAGGACCAGGAGTGCTGAGGGGGCAGGAAGGTAACATCTGAGCAAAGACCTGAAGGAGGTGAGAGGGAGCCCCAAGTCCCCCCAGTCTGGAGAAATAATGTTCCAGGAAGAGGAAGCTGCAGCTCTAAAGACCCTGAGACTTATGATTTCCTGATGCATCCAAAGAGACCAGGGGAAGGAGTGAGGTGTAGTCATAGGAGATGAGGTCAGAGAGGCGGGGGTAGAGGTGAGAAGTGGCCTTGTCATATAGAGCAGTGCTACTCAATGTATAGCCAGTGGAGAACCAGTGCCAGTCTGCAGACCCTTTGTTATGGGTTCTGTGGCAATGTTAGTACAGAGACTGAGAGTAAGCACCTAAAAACATGTCGAATCATTTGTCTAAAATTGTCTAGCAAGATGTGACAGTAGAATTATCTTTGTTCATTATATATTAGAACATAAATAAGAGATTGCTCTTTCACCACAGGAAGTTTGAGAAGCACTAATAAAGAGGCTTAGCAGCCATTGTAAGGCCTTTATCTTTCACTCTGTGTAAAATGCAGAGCCATCAGTGATTTCTGAGTAGTGGCATGAGGAAACTTGCAGCCAGAGGGAGTGCAAGGGTGGAGGTAGGGAAGCCAGTTAGAAGATAGCCAGTAATTCAGGTGCCAGTTGATGTTGGCTCAGATCAGAGCAGAAACGGTGGAGATGGTGAAAATGCCTGGATTCTAGATGTATTTTGAGGGTGGCACTGATAAGATTTTCAGATTGATTGAATTATTAGAGAATAAAGAGGAGTCAAAGACGACCCTCAGTTTTATGACCTGAGCAGTTTGCAAAATAGGACGGACGTCATCTGAAATGAGGACAGCTATGATGAGCAAGGCCTATTTTGAAGGGATGGAATTATCAGGAGTTTAATTTTGTACATAAGACCAAACTTGGAGTATCTGTTAGACAGTAAAGTGAAGGTATTGAGTAGGCAGTATGATATAAAAGTATGGAGTCTGGAAAAGAAGTCTAAGTGGAGATATAAATTTGGCTGTTCTAAGCATAGACATGTTGTCTTAAAGCCAGGAGACTAGATAAGATTACCAAGGGAATGACAGTAGACTTTTTAGAAAGAGAAAAGGGTCGAGGATTGAGCCCTGAGGCCCTCCAGTATTAGGAGATCAAGAAGAAAAGGTGGAAGGAGCAAGGGAGACTAAGAAGTAACCAGGGAGGTAACAGGAAAACTTGGTATCCTACAGTCCAAGAGAGAATAATGAATCAAAGGGAAATGGGTGATCACGTGTCTCAAATACTGCAGATAGGTCAAGTAGAATGGGGATGGGGCCAAGCAGAATGGTCGAGTATTGAACATTGGATTTAGCAATGTAGAGGTCATGGGTGACCTTGACCAAAGAAATTATTGTTTCACTATATTGTAGGAGCAACTGTGTACTTGAATGGATTTAAGAGAGAACAAGGAAAAAACTAGAGACAGCAAGTCAGTTTTGCTGCAAAGGATAGCAAATAAATAAGCCGGAGGCTGCTAGAGGAAGTAGGGTGAAGGCTTTATAAGATATATTTTGAAGATGGTAGAAATATTAGATTGCTTATATGCTAAAGGAATGACCCAGTAGGAAGGGGGAAGATAGGGATTATACGCTGGAGAGAGAGGAGAGAATGCTGCACCAATGTCTTTAAATAGCCTAGAAGGAAGGGGATCTAGTGCATAAATGAAGGGTTTGGCTTCAGAGAAGATAGTTTATCTACAGTAAAAGGGGAGAAAGCAGAGTATGGGGGCAGAGATTGATAGGTAGGAAGATGTATTGGATACAGTCTACAGAAGTTGTTTTCCGATTGCTTAAATTTTCTCAGATAAAGAGGAAGCAAGGTCATTATCCAAGAGCAAGATAGGGAAAGAGGTTGGGGATTTAAAGAGAAGGTCCTCTAGGAAAGAGAGAGGGTTCAGGGCCCACAGAAGTGGGATGACTGCTCAGCCCTAGTGACCCTCTTGAGGTTTATGGTCATGAACTAAAGTGAGACCTCTCAACAAGACTACGTGTGCTGGCAGGGCATAGTGGCTCACACCTGTAATCCCAGCACTTTGGGAGGCTGAGGCAGGCAGATCACTTGAGGTCAGGAGTTCAAGACCAGCCTGGCCAACATGGTGAAACCCCATCTCTACTAAAAAATAGCTGGGTGTGGTGGCAGGTGCCTGTAATCTCAGCTACTCA